ATTATTTCCTTTTTTAGGTGTTGAGTTGTATAAGTTCTTTATATATTTTGGATATTAACCCCTTATTGGATACATCATTTGGAAATACCTTTTCCTATTCAGTAGTTTGTCTTTTTGTTTTGTCAATGGTTTCTTTTGCTGTGTGAAAGATTTTATTTTACTATAGTCCCAATAGTTTAATTTTCCTTTTGTTTCCTTTGCCAAAATTGAAGTATCTGGAAAAATATTTCTAAGGCTGATATCAAAGAGATTAGTGCCTATTTTTTTTTTTCTAGGACTTTTATGGTTTCAGGTCTGACATTTAAGTCTTTAATTCATTTTGAGTTTACTTTTGTGTATGGTATAGAAAGTGGTCCAATTTCATTTCTTAGCATGTTACTGTCCAGTTTTCCAAACACTGTTAAAGATAATGTCTTTTTCCAATTGTATATTTTTGCCTCTTTTATTATAGACTAACTGGCCATAAAAGCATGGGTTTATTTCTGGATTCTCTATTCTGTTTTATTGATCCTTGTGTTTGTTTTGTGCCAGTACCATACTGTTTTGATTATTATAGCTTTGTAGTATACCTTGAAATCTGGGATTGTGATACATCAAGTTTTGCTCTTTTTTTTTTTTTTTCCAAGATGGCTTTGGCTATTCAGTCTTTTGTGGTTCTGTAGAAATTTAAGGATTATTCTAGTTCTGTGAAAATGCTGTTGGTATTTTGATATGGATTGCATTGAATCTGTTGATTGCTTTGGGTAGTATGGACATTTTAACAATGTTGGCTCTTCCAATTCATGAGCATGGACTATCTTTCCCTTTGCTTGCCTCATCTTCAATTTCTTTCACCGAAGTTTTATGTTTTTCATAGTACAGGGCTTTACTTCTTTGGTTAAATTTTTAGACTTCTTTAACATTAACTAAAAAGTAACCAGAAGGGTGTCTGGGTGGCTCAGTTGGTTAAGCATCTGCCTTCAGCTTGGGTCGTGATCCTGGGGTCCTGAGATCATGTCCCACATTGGGCTGTTCAGGGAGCCTGCTTCTCCCTCTGTCTTTGCCCCCTTCTCTCTGTCTGTCTGTCTCTCTCTCTCATGAATAAATAAATTTTAAAAATATTTAAAAAGTACCCAGAAGAGAGCCCTGTGTTAAAGACCTGGACTATAACATTACTCCAAACTCCTTCAACTCAGGGTCATGCAGGGGTCTGACAGGACACCTGGGCTTGCCTCATCTGTGTGCCACTTGGACTGTCCTAGGATGGCTGTTAAGACCACTTTCATATTCTACAACAGTCGGTAGAACCTGACCTGCAGACTGCAGTGATTGCCTTCACTATTTACCCTTAACAGGAAAGAGTGATCTGAATAGGAATGGCTAATTAGAAGCAACCATTTCAAGTAAGCATTCCATGGCGGACTGGTCCATGACCACTAGGGATTGAGCAACTGTTGGAAATATACCTTTAGGTTTGTCTTTCTTTTTCTTTTTTAAAGATTTTATTTATTTGAGAGCAAGAAAGAGTGAGAGCACAAACAGGGGTGGGGGGAAGGGGCAGAGGGAGAGGAAGAAGGAAGAAGTAGACTCCCTGCTGAGCAGGGAGCCTGATGTGGGGCTCAGTCCCACAATCTCAGGATCATGACCTGAGTCGAAGGCAGATGCTTAACTGACTGAGCCACCAGGTGTCCTAGGTTTGTCTTTCTTTTTAAACAGGCTGATGATAGCAGAAGGCTCCTTGAGTTTGGCACATGGCTTGGGAATGTTGTGCTCAGGATGTGCTTCTATCTTCTGGCAGAATGCTAAGGTCACTCTGTCATAACCCCTGATAATACTGGATCCCTTCTCCTCTGAATCAGAGTCTCCTTCTAACTGATGTTACAGGATGAAGAAACACCCAAGGAACTCTGCCTTGAGATAATGAAACAACGTGACCTGGGATCACCTTTCCCTTTGATTCTCAAAATGTTTTCTTCTGCCTAAAGGGATGCTTCACCATTTAGTAAATGGTTATAAGTGGTATAGGAATGAAAATATCTTGTCCTGGACTAATAATGACCAAGAAATGTAAAAGTACCCAAGGGAAATTCTGACCCATTCAGATGTCTACCCAAAACCCTCCAACCCCGCCCGACAAAAGAAAACAAACCAAAAACTGTATTTCATAGTTACTTCCTGTCCTATTTTTAAAATGACCTTAAAAAGACAAGTAAAAGATAAATTTAGCAAGTTTACAAGTCAGAGGATCCATTAAGGAAGTGCGTAAAAGGCCATCTGAGAGTCAGCCATGGATATTTGCATCAACAACAGGGAAGTGGCCTTGAGTCCTGGGTCAATATTCTCCCCACAGTGTTGGTATATAAGGGGCTCCCCCAGCAGAAGGTGGCATCAGACCTCCCTCACCTCCTGAGTCTCCCTTCTCACCTCTCCTGAGTCCTTACTCTCCTGACACCATGGGGTGCTGTGGCTGTGGAAGTTGTGGTGGCTGTGGTGGCTGCAGCAGTGGCTGCGGCAGCTGTGGTGGCGGCTGTGGTGGCTGCGGTGGTGGCTGTGGTGGCTGCGGTGGTGGCTGTGGTGGCTGTGGTGGCGGCTGTGGCAGCTGCACCACCTGCAGGTGCTACCGTGTGGGCTGCTGCTCCGCCTGCTGCCCCTGCTGCTGCGGCTGCTGCGGGGGCTGCTGCAGTACCCCTGTGGTCTGCTGCTGCCGCCGCTCCTGTGGCTCATGTGGCTGTGGCTCGTGTGGCTGTGGCTCGTGTGGCTGCGGCGGTGGGAAGGGCTGCTGCCAGCAGAAGTGTTGTTGCCAGCAGAAGTGCTGTTGCAAGAAGCAATGCTGCTGCTAGGGGGGCCATCTGGCCCCTGTCCCTGCACAAGAGATAATGGGAATATCTTCCACTTCATTCATCGGTCCTACCTGTTGTCCTCTGGTAGTCTGAGACTTACCCTCTTGGGCTGACTTTGCTCCTGGATTTAGGTTCCTCTTTTTCCTGCTTTGGGTGTTTCCAATTTTCCTCACTGAAAAGTTTCCAATTAAATAGGACATAGCAAAAACAAGGACATGAAAACTCCAAAAGAAGAGCTGACATCATGGAGTTCCATCAGATAGGATCACGTTATTATTCTTAGATGTATGTGATTATTTCCTTCCCATGTATGTGCTTTTATGTCTACTCCTTTTTTATTTTGTATTTCTATTTGTCAATAACACTTTTTAAAATTTTCTAGTAAAATAAAAACTTTAATCACTAAATGTTTCTCTTTGCCTTTATTTTGATTTTACCTTATCCCACCCCCTAGAACATCTTAATCTCACTTAAACATCCCTTAGAAGATGAGTAATCCCTTAGAAGATGAGAATAGTTTTCTTGCCACTACTGTCCGTGCATTCCAGCTATGAACATCAATGGGACACTTGAAAGAATGATGTATCTATATTCTGAATTCTATTTTGAAATGACAGTTACAGAGAAACAAGTGTCCCCCCTCCAAAACAAAAGAAAGAAAGAAAGAAAGAAGTGTCCCTAATTCATTAAGAAATGTGTCCCTAATTCATTAAAAAAAATCCTGTATTATTCACAAAGAACCAATTCAAACCCATTTTCAAAAATATATCTGCTACCAAAATATGGATGGCTTCATTTGCTTTAGATTCTGATCTATTGTGGCCATTTACTCTTTGTGTCAAGGGCAGAGTTCCACCCCTCCTGAGCAGCCCCTTTCATTTTTCCCCCTATAAACTCAGCCAGCAGTGCCCATTTAGACTTTTGGTATTGTTAGTTTAGCTTTCTATCTCTCTAACTACAAAAGGCAATGCCAGCAGGTTGTGCTAAGTGAGTCGGCATTGGTGGACATGAGACTTATCTTCATTCTCTTCTATTTATATTAATTTAATCTCAGTTGGGGTCTTGCTGAGGCTCAAGCCTTCTTTTGACTTTACTACAAATCTAATTTTTTCCTTTTTTTTTTTTTAAGGGGGGAGAGACAGAGGCAGAGGAAGTGAGAGAATCTCAAGCAGACTCCATGATGAGCATGGCACAGGGCTTGATCTCATGACCCTGAGATCATGACCTGAGCCAAAATCAACAGTCAGATGTTTAACTGACTGAGCCACCCAGGCGTCCCTCAGATCTTACTTAATAACTCAAACTGTGATGTGTGTTTTAAATAAAAATTTTTAAAAGATTTTATTTATTTATTTGAGAGAGAGACAGTTGAGAAAGAGCATGAGAGGGGAGAAGGTCAGAGGGAGAAGCAGATTCCCCGTGGAGCTGGGAGCCGGATGTGGGATTCGATCCCCGGACTCCAGGATCATGACTTGACGCAAAGGCAGTTGCTTAACCTACTGAGCCACCCATGCACCCAGTGATGTGTGTTTTTAAGTTGTATTTCCATTTTTTATAGACTCATGAGCTTAGAGGGGATCTGACTGGTCATTGAATGTGTGTCCTTTTGCCAGACTGTGGTAGTCTATTCCTGATAGGAAAACAGTTTTATGAGCAAGATCTCTTTCCTTTACACCTGGAGCAAACTAGAGTTGAGTTAATCCCCTATAGCCATCATTCACTTGGAAGATACAAACTGAAATACAAATGACATTTTATGATTCAGATCATGAGTAGTACTTAAAAGGATTTAAATATTTCAGAAGAATCTACTTCTTTCTTTTAGAGAAACTCCTAGATATAAAGGTAAGTCTAAGGTGTTGAAGCCAGTTCAAAGATAGAGTATTTCAAAGACACCCTGCCTTAGGGTGTCTTTGGGTGGGGTGGGTTGTGTACAAGGAATCGTAATCCAAGGCCAAGTGTGATGCTTGCTGCAGCTGTTTCCATCAGAGGTGGAGAGATAGTTCTCAAAAACACTCAGAGTGGCTTCAAAGCACTGTATCTCATGGCTTTCTTGCGAACTCTTCAGTGTATGTTCTCTCTGCCACTTTTGGTCTACTTTGGACCAGAGCCAGAAAGTGGTAGAGGTCATTGTCCCTGCAATGTGAAGGTCAGCAATTGTTGTCTCTGCATTAATTTTCCTCATCTTTTGCCACAAGGCACACGTTTCTCAGGTGGACCCAGTACTGACAACAAAAAGATGGATCACAATTTAAGGAAAATATTTCTGTAGTTCAACTGAGTTCAGCAAATATTTTCATTATTCAATCTGATATATTTCTGCCTTTGTTTTCAAACCCTTATAGGTCCTGCCTATACCTTTCCCAATTATTCAGATCACCTAAATGAAGACCCATATTTTGCAATTAGATTACAGAGAGGAACATTCAAGAACTGAGGTGAAATGCAGGTTGTGTGTCTTCCCATGCTTTCCAGCCCCTGTCACCAGAGTTCCCCATACATGGATCCTGTGTGATTTCCTTGTGGATTCTGCGATAGCTTCATGTACTGGGAATTAGTGTGGACCACGCTCAGGAGGAAGAAGAGAGAGCTAAGTGTGTCAAGGAAAACCAGGAACCACACTGTGTACATGTGCCACATTGTGGTTGCAACAGCAGCACGTTTCTTTCTTTCTGTGTGTCAACTTAGAATTTGAGGAAGCTCATCTCAGACCCTCTCCTCAAAGCTTATCTTCTGAATTTCAAGGGGGAAAGGAAGACTATCTTTTCAGGGGCTCTCTTTGGAGATTTTACTTGACATGGCTACTCAATTCATATATTGTTTGGTGATTTCATTGCATTTGATCAATTCAGCCTATGTAAGCATCTGGTTTGTCAGGCTCGGCTGACTCCATGTGGATTTGTGGTGTTGGAGCAAGAATGTCCTTCTGAAGACAAACCACAGGCACTTGTCTTCCCTCCACCCCAGCTTCACCACCAGACCCAGCTGGGAGACCCCTGCCTCCTTTCTCTCTCAGCTCACTGCTAAACCAACCATGATGGATCAAGAATCTGGAAACCACAGAAAAGAGCCAGGGATCACTATGGGAAATTAATAGAAAGGGTGTTCAGGAACACATTTTATTGTGTGTATGGTGTGGACTCCTTCAGACAATGCTGAGGGGGTGGTATGAAAGTTTCCCAGTTTGCTTATTTTGAACCTAATGCTCATCTTCTGACGCTACATCTGAAAGCCTATTTTGTAGTTCGTAGTGGCTGACAGACAGACTTCCATGGCCCCTACCATGGCTCCAGAAGAACTTCTGGGAGAGCTGCTTGGGAGGGTATGGATGCTTAGTGTGGTGGTGGCTGAATGAAAAGCACTCATGGACTATAGAGCTAATGGGCAAAGAGATGTCAGAGACTCAGGGCTTCCATTTATGTTGCCTGTTGGAGTAATTCTCAGCTATGAGGCCATGACAGTCAGGATCAACATGCAGTAGAAAAAGACCCTAGGAGTAGAAAAAAGTGAGCATCATAAATGATAAGCCTCAAAAGTGACAATGCTCTTAAGTGATCAAATGACTACTCAGGATCTGTGTGAATATTCACGCACTCAGACTGCTGTTGCTAAGACTATCAGAAGAGAGATTTGGGAAGAGTTTAGTTTATGACCTTCCGCTGCCAAGATAAAGGATGTGCCTGCTGAGTTCTTTGCTTCTTGATAGACCCACAATGGATTAACCATTTACTAACCCATCTATATCCATCGCAAACAACTTCTCTTGCTTTTAATTCATTGTCATGTTCATCTATACATTACCTGTCTCATGTTGAGATTGAAATGCATTGTTCCCAAGGGATAGATAGTTTAGAGACTGGCAAACAAACAAACAAACAACAACAACAACAACAACTACAAAGGTCTTTGAGGCTGATTTTGTATAATTTATTAAGAAAAGAGTTGTTTTGCATTTACAGAGATGGCAATGCAATGGTAAAAATAGGACATAAATAAACACAAAGTTAATGGCATTTCAAAGAACACAAAACATCAGCTATCTTGATTCATTTTTGTCAAGGGCAATATTTGAAAGTGAATGGACAGAGGAGGCTGCCCATTTATGACTTTGGCTGGTGTTTATTAAATGCAAACAGGATGATAGAAACCACAGAATGTGGGATTCCTGTGGGTTGGTGACCAGGCTCAGGTCACGCTTGTGACTTAAAAATCAGAAAGGAGCTGACAGAAAGGGAGGGGGAAGTCTTACCTACAGCATGGTTACCTGCAGCACTTCCCCAGAGGCCGGCCGGCCACCTAGCAGCAGCATTGCTTCTTGCAACAGCACTTCTGCTGGCAACAGCACTTCTGCTGGCAACAGCCCTTCCCACCGCCGCAGCCACATGAGCCACAGCCACACGAGCCACAGCCACACGAGCCACAGGAGCGGCGGCAGCAGCAGACCACGGGGGTACTGCAGCAGCCCCCGCAGCAGCCGCAGCAGCAGGGGCAGCAGGCGGAGCAGCAGCCCACGCGGTAGCACCTGCAGGTGGTGCAGCTGCCACAGCCGCCACCGCAGCCGCCACCGCAGCCGCCGCAGCCGCCGCTACAGCCACCGCAGCCGCCGCAGCCACTGCTGCAGCCACCGCAGCCGCCACAACTTCCACAGCCACAGCACCCCATGGTGTCAGGAGAGAGGACTCAGGAGGGAGTAGAGAGGAGCAAAACTCAGGAGGTGAGAGAGGTCTGATGCCGCCTTCTGCTGGTGGAGCCCTTATATACCAGCACTGGGGGGAAAGCAGGAAGACACATGACCACTTCCTGGTCGCTATTTGGCTCTATTTACAGGGAAGAATCACATCATCTCTTATTTGCTTCCCTTTTAGATATCTTTGTCTTCATCACATGTTTCGTTTATTGTTTCAATAAAACCTTTATTCCAGTTTAACTTCGAAAAAGCCCAGACAGCTCTAGGCAGGCATTCTGGGACCCCGGACGTAGCGAAGCTAACAGGAATAGACGAATAGATGAATCTCATCTTCCCACCACACCTGTGTCTGTGGGGCTTGCAGACCACACCCTGGGTCAGGTGATCTGTGAGCTCCCAGGGGCTGGCATGGTCCCTGACCTCAAAGAGCTTGTAATAGGAAGTAATCCTGGGAGCTGGGGATGTGAAAGGCCAGGTACTATCGTTGCATTCGTTGACCGGTGAAACTTTTTGGAGCTGGAAGCTTCTACCCCTTTCCTCTTCCTGTGAAGCATACCAGTGTTCTTTCTCACACCCAGGTCCCAAGGACTATCTTAAAACAGAAATAAATCTTCTTAAGAGTCATTTTAATGATGTAAATGGACAAGGAATTAATTTTTTTAATTTTTGTTTTTGAGTAGATAAGATCAGTTGATGTCTTCACTAAGGAGTCTAAGCTTGGAGATTTAGAAAGAAGGGTGGGAACTCTGAGGGGTGCAGGTACAGAGGCCAGAGATGCAAGGAGGGGCCCAGTGTGGTGAGAAAATGAGTGTGAAATATGGTGAAGTGTGCAGCTGTGGTCCTGGGTGGGATTGGAGGGCTAGCGACTAGCAAGGAGGTGATAGAAACATAGACAAGAAAAACAAGAGCACCAGTGGGCTCCTCATCACGTGCGCTGTTGGAGGAGCCCTCTGGCCTCTCAGGGAGTTCTGCAGACCTTCATGGACATCGTTGGTGGCCAACAGATTACCCAAACTATGATTTATAAGTGGCTTGCTGCCCAGAGCCTATTTTCCCAATCTGGTGAGATTGTTCTTCAGGAATCTGAGTGAGAGGAAATGTTGTAAGGTCCCAGAGGCATGTTGGCATTGTTGTTCATGATCTCAAACTATTTTTGAGGTTTGTGGACCAAGGCATGCATTTCAACCACCCAGCTGAGATGGGCTAGGGTGGGGGGAACAGTGGGGTAAGAGATAGAGGAATAGGTTTGAGAGCTTTTAAGGAGGCACAATCACAGAATTCAGTGGAAGACCAGATATGGGGCTAAGAGAAACAAGGGATTCAGAGATTTTTAATGGATTGTCAGCTTGATGGAGAAGACACAGCGGAGGAATATAGCTTTTTTTGGTGAGGTTGGTGATTGGGTTGGGGAGATTATGCCTTGAGTCTGGGGCCTGGGACATGGCAGGTGGATCTGGAACATGGAGGAGATTCGAAATTGGAGGAAGGAATCTGGGAAATGCACATGGGAACTAAAGCCCTGGGTGTGGATGTGAGCACGAAGGGAGAGAGTGTAGCAGGAGAGACAGGAACATCAGGTCAAGATTTTCAATAGACAGCTTACAAGGTTGAGGAAGAAAAGAAGGTCATTTAGTTTAAAAACAGTCCACATCTCTTTGGAAATATAGCTGTGAACATGTAACATCACAAGAACCAATATGGCCCATTTAACGAGGTGTAAGATTCATGAGAGTGATAGATGTGAAAACCATTGGAAAGAAGTGGCTTGTTCAATTTGGTTATTCATATAGACTCTACCTCTCTGAAGTTTCTATTAGAGCGGGGGGTGGTTTCTGCTGATGATATGGAGAGAAACCCATTGAGGAGAGGCAGAAAAGGAGCAAGCAATAATTAAGTGCTTTCTTTGTTCTAAATCTCAAAGCTTTGGGCGCCTGGGTGGCTCAGTTGGTTAAGTATCTGCTTTCAGTTCAGGTCATGATCCCAGAGTCCTGGAACCAAGTCCCGCATCGGGCTCCCAGCTCCATGGGGAGTCTACTTCTCCCTCTGACATTTCCCTCTCTCATGCTCTCTCTCACTCTCTCAAATAAAATCTTTAAACAAATTTAAAAAATAGCTCAACGGTTCATCTGTTTTTCTCTGGAAATGAAGACAACTCCAGAAGGTTAGCGTCTCTTTGCCTCTAAAATGACTTTAAGAAGAAAAGCTAAAATTAGAAAATGTACTGGGTCAAATATCACCCATAAGAACGTAAACAAGGAATAGCCCTGGATGAGCTTCTTGTGGAAACTGCGTTGGCAGCAATGAGGAAGTGCTGGGTCATGTGTCCTGGGTCACTCACTCCATCACCTTCCTCCTCAAGATGGTACATAAGGGGCTCCTCCAGCAGAAGGCGGCATCAGACCTCCCTCACCTCCTGAGTCTCCATCCTCACCTCTCCTGAGTCCTTACTCTCCTGACACCATGGGGTGCTGTGGCTGTGGAAGTTGTGGTGGCTGCGGTGGCTGTAGCAGTGGCTGCGGTGGCTGTGGTGGCTGTGGTGGTGGCTGCGGTGGCTGCGGTGGCTGTGGTGGTGGCTGTGGTGGCAGCTGTACCACCTGCAGATGCTACCGGGTCAACTGCTGTCCCTGCTGCACCGGCTGCTGTGGGTGCTGCTGCACTGTCCCTGTGGTCTGCTGCTGCCGCCGCTCCTGTGGCTGCAGTTCCTGTGGCTGTGGCTCGTGTGGTTGTGGCTCATGTGGCTGTGGCGGCGGGAAGGGCTGTTGCCAGCAGAAGTGCTGTTGCCAGCAGAAGTGCTGTTGCAAGAAGCAATGCTGCTGCTAGTTGGCTGGTGCATAGGTGCCACCAGCACCCATTCAATTGGTAAGACTTCTGCCTTCCTGTTGCTCTTCTGCCACCTGATGGTCCTGAAAATACCCTCTTCCTGTCTTTGGTGCCTTAAGTCCTTCCATCAGAAGAGTCCCTGAACTCAGAGAAATCATCTAATGGAAGAAATACTGATGCAGTGGAGCACCAGAGTAATTATGCAAATTACTAATGAAATCATGATTCCGAATACTTGGTTTGATGGAAATATCCAGTGCCTTGCAGGTTTGTCTTTGACCACTTTTTTCTGTCATCATGCATAGTCCTCCCCCACCTTACCTTTTCTCCTTCCTAGTCATTACATAATACTCTCTAAATTTTCCTAATAAAATAAACACTAGAAGTCCATAAAAAGTGTTCTTTTTGTCTTTCTTGTGTTTGAGTGCATGGAATCCTGGTTTGTTCTGAAACTTGAGAATTTACCTTTGCACCAAGTTTTTAAAACCCTTGCACCTGTAGCAGGTTCAAAGCCCCAGCCAGGTCCTTGGGGACCACCCTCTCCTCTCAGTGAAACTTCACTTTCCTGCCAGCCTCCTCTCTCCCTTACAGCTCGGTGTGCCAACTCCCCGGGGAGACACAGTCCTCATGTACTAATATAAGGATGTGGCCCTTCAGCAGGCATTAAACCTTACATGGGCATTCCCATCAGGACCCAAATACAGAATTTAATAGTGGGCCTGAGACCATTTGGGCTTTCCCTGGGGTCTCTTTTGTGGACATATTCAATCTTTTCCTTCTCCTCTTTCTGTTTTTTGGTGTATGCAGTTTTCTTCTTTCAACTGTTTCAGTAGGTAGTAAACATTTGATGATAACAGACTTCTGAAACGTTTCTAAATTTTTAAAATGCATTCAGTTGCCATAAATTCTTCCAGTGCCTCTGTCTTCTCAACTGCCTTCAGCAAAAGTAATACATGAAAAGAACCCCTGGGGAAAGGGGGTTTCCAATGCTTTTTTGAGGGGGGACATCTTTTCTTCCACTGCTTCAATTTTGTCCACAAGAGGATAACGTCTTTCTTTTTCCTTCCTTTCTCTTTCTTTTCCAGTTCTTTTCTTTTCTCTCCTCCCCCTTCCTTGTCCTTTTCTTTCCTCTAATTATTTTCTACAGATTTTTTTTTTTCAGCTGTTGAGATTCTGCTATTTTATTAGCAGTAGAGACTGTAGGCCAAGGAGATTTTGGATCATGATGGTTCAGTATTTTCACACATTTGATGCATTTGTCCAAAAAGGGAGGAAGCTCTGCTGGATAACATGTTCAAATGAAATAAATTAACCACATCCCTGGGCTCAAAAACAAGATCTGTATCTCTGTGGACCAAACACAGAACAGAAATGCAGAATGCAAGGCTGCAGCCATGTCCTTGCTGGGATCTGGGTCTGGAAGTGGGCTACAGACATGTGGAGAGTAGGAATATGAGCACAGAGATCAGATATTCCACACAGAGAGGGGATGATATAGCTAGGCTCACTTGAGATGTAGTGTGAGGGTGGGTCCCCTTCTGTCTTGAAAAAATCCTATGACTCTTTGCTGCCTAGGTTTTTGGCCTATAAACTGGTGTCTACCAGAGACATATGGATATAGTCCCAAGATCACAAATTGACTTAAATCATCCAGAGGCTTGAGAATAACCTACAATATCCCATTACACTATGGGGTGAGGCTTGAATGTAGGGCAGGAGAATATAACAGCAAAACTTCTAGACAGATAAAAGCCAAGGTGAGGGTTGAGGTAAGAAGAGAGAGTGAGAGAAGTGAAAATAGAAACAAAGCACTTCTCACTTAAGGGAAGTTGGCAAAGTTTCAAAAACTCTTTGTAGTAGGAAGCTCTAACATGGTTCCCAGTGATCCCTGCGTCCTGGTGTTCATACCCTTGTGAAATCAATCATCGTCCTTGGAGTACGTGCTGGATTTAGGGACTAATGAAGAGAATACCACAAAAGTGACAGGATGCCACATTCTTGATTAGGTTACAAAAATCTGTGACTTCCCTCTTTAAGCCGATCCTTGATTTCTTGGCTTGCACACTTTGATGAAGCAAGCTGACATACTGGAGAGGCCCACATGACCAGGAACTGAGCACAGTCTCCAGTCAACAGCTAAGCAAGAAATTGAAGCCTTCTGCTCAGTGGCCACGAGGAATTGAATCCTGCCAACAATTACATGAACTTTGAAATGCATCGTGCCCCATTCAATGCCCTGCCTCCTTGAGATGACCACAGTCCAATCAACACTTAGCCTATGGAAGACCTTGAAGTAGAAGACTCAACTAAGGTGTACCCAGATTTCTGACCCAGAAACTATGAGATAATAAATGTGTGGTGTTTTAAGCCACAAGTGTTGGGGTGATTTGTTATAGAATACTAAATAACTAACACATTTGAAAACATCAAATGTTAGGAAAGGGCAGCAAACTTGGAACATGAATTAATTTTGGATGAAACTGACTTTATAGAACTAACAATGTCTTTCAAACAATATTTTTTGGATCCTTAAAACAATAAATAAGAGAATGACTTCCATTTAAAAATGAAGGATTTATTGTGAAAATACAGGTAAAAACAAAATAAGAATGGGTTGCTATCAAAATCCTGGGAACAAAAAAAAATGAGTTGAAATAAAAAAACAACAAAATAAGACACTATCAAAGAGAAAATTTGTGAATTTCAAGATGGATATCAGGTGTTCGCTTAGCACACAACAGAGAGAAACAGAGTCCCAGAATAGAAACTGAAGTAGTCTGTCTTGACATGAAATCTAATCTGGGAAAAAGGTTTTGAAGACTTTCCCAATAGGGCTACTTCTTATGCCCAAGGATATCTTTCTACTACCATCAAACTTATTCATGTTGGACTTATATTCCAGATACATTTGGATGGATTAAATTTCAGGCAACTTTTACTCTACTAAAAATATTGAGATCCAAATTATCATGAAGCTGTGGTAGCATTTTCCATTATGACTGCTACTGAATATTGAATTTCTTAAAATTATTTAGAATCCTTTGGCTCAAACAGATCGAGTAAGAATTCAGCAAACAGTTCATCTTTTTCTTTTCTATGGATTACCAACTAGCCAACACCACAATTCTCCGTGAGTTAGACTATTCTGACCACTGCTTTGGCTCCATTGTCCATTATGATAACCATACCCATCTTGTCTTTAGCAACTAAGTGTCTCCATGTAGCCCCTGTCTCCCTAGGATCCTTTGATCTCCATTGTATATAAGTATCCCAGTTCATTGATAACAGCTCCCACTTAAATTGTTGATCTATAGAGCAAAGCAACCACAGAGTTCTTCTAGCATGCTGGGCTATTCCCCTGAATGTATCCGCACAGTTATGATAGAAGGTGTGTCTTCTGGATCCTCCCAAGTTGGGTGAACAAATCCACATGATAAATCCACTCTAACATCATAATTTCACTAAGCTTTTGAACACCTTCTTCTAGAGCATACCAAGGCAGTTCTGGCATTTCAGCTGATTTAGTGTGTTCCACCTGTGACTTCATGTTTCAGCTAACCAACCAAACTGGCAGCCCATATCAACAAATTCTGCTTGATCCAACTTTATGTTCCTTCTACCATGATCCCACATCCTTAAGATCCATTCCCATACATATTATCTAGATTTCTGTTTATAAATACTGGGAGAATCATGTAGCTCTTTTGGAGCATAATGCATCTCACACATTTTGTACTTTCCCTTTTGGGGCCTGCTGAAACTTGAGACTATTTATGGGTTTAGAGACAAAGAGGGGTGCTGGGGGGGGTGGGTCTGAGGAGACTCAACAATGTCTTGCTACCTCAGTGGATGCCATTACAGGACTACCTCATTAGGCAGGGGTGGAAGGACAGCTTCTAATGGCAAAGACTTGGCTGATCTAGGGCTTAGATATCCCCAGCTTTACTGAGATCTGACCATGTGTCCCCATTCCAGTTTTCAGGATTCCATTCATTCCCAGTGAATGTCCTCACTTTATCAGAAGACACCCTGCAAGGTCAGGAATTCAATTTGCACTGTAAAGCAGCCAATTTCAGAATGAGACTCTTGGTTTGATTATCAGAAATCTCCACTCTGTGGCTGCAGGAGACAATGGCTTATTTCAGGGAATATATTAGAGCTTTCAGGTCATTAATGCAAGCACTCAAGCTGGGAATTTGAAGCCCTGAGCCTATCCTTTTTTCTCCCTTATTTTCTCCAGTGCTGCCAGGAGTAACCACCCAATCCCATTTTTCTCTTTAGTTTAACTAAAATAGTCTAAGTTGACAAATACATGACAATTCAGAACCTCACCTTCTATAGGTACTGCTGAATGTTGACCTCCCCACCCCCAAATTTCTGTTCATCTGGAACCTATAAATGTGACTTAATTAGGGTTGACCTAAATCCAATATGGTTGGCCTCCTTATACTAAGAGGAGACTTTGGACATAGAGAAAAGGACACATAGGGGAAACATCATGTGATAACAGAGGAACAGATTGGAGTGATGTGTCTACAAGCCAAGGGATGTTAAGAATTGCCAGCAGCTGCTCTAAGCTAGGAAGAGTCAAGGAAGGATCCTTTCCTAGATATTTTCAGAGAGAAAGTATGGGCCCACCAACACCTTGATTTCAGACTTCTAGCCTCCAGAACTGTGAGAAAAGAAGCTTCTGTTGTTTAAAGTGACTCAATTTGTGGTCATTTGTTATAAGAACATTAGGAAACTAATATAGTATTTGATTAGGAGTATCCAATGGTGACACTTATGTGTCTAAAACCACATCATGCCATGACTACTAGTGCCTTTTTTATGATCAGAAACAGATTCATAGTGGCATTAAATCTAACTAGATCAGAAAACAAGTTCCAGAAAACCCAGAAGCTATACAGAAAAGTCTTTCTTAAAAATCTGTCCTCTACAACCACTCCTGGTACCAAAATCTGTATCAATCAGAATTTAGCCTGAGAAACAACCAGTGGAGATATATATTGAAAAATTTATTTAAAGGAGTTGGCTTACTTGATTGGGGGAGCTGGGGAGGCTAAGTCCAAAATTCACAGGGCAGGTCATCAGGACAGGTAGGCTAGAATTCTCAGGCATGTCCTCAGATGGAACTTCTCCTTCCTCTGGGAAGGCTCAGTTCTGCTCTTAAGGCCTTTCAACTGATGGAATTGGGCCCATCCAGGTTATCTAGAGTAATCTCCCTTACTTAAAGTCAATGGATTATGAATTTTGTTCACATCTACAAAATATATCACAGCAACACTTCGATTAGTACTTGTTTGAATAAATAAGGAACTTGAGAACCTAGTCAGGATGACACATAAGACTGACTGTCACAAATTACAACAAACTTATCCATTAGTTTGAAAAGAATTGAAATCATTGCAATATTCAATCTTTTCATGTAAGGTCATTGTAAAGTTTAATAAAAATTTTTTTCCTTGAGGCGCCTGGGTGGCTCAGTGGGTAAAAGCCTCTGCCTTCGGCTTGGGTCATGATTCCAGAGTCCTGGGATCAAGCCACGAGTCAGGCTTCCTGCTGAGATATATATTGAAAAATATATTTTTCTTCCCTTCCTCTCTCTCTGCCTGCCTCTCTGCCTACTTGTGATCTCTGTCAAATAAATAAATAAAATCTTTAAAAAAATTTTTTTCCTTATTTTTTTGGCCTAATCTTATAGGAATTAAATGATTTCCCCCATTCTAACTTTTTTCATAGTATATAGTAGGAGTATAATCATAATGGTTATCACATGTTGATCATTTATTATGCATCAGGCCTGCATGAGAAACTTTTTTTATCTACTATTCAAACCAAAACAAATCACATTTTTATGAAGTTGGGCACAAAAAGCCAGTATACATCATTCACTCTGTGATATTTCATGTTTCTGTTCTTGCATGGTCCCATTTGTCTGATTTCCATGTTCTTTTGGGGTGGACTCGAAAGTATTAAAACCGTATTTAGGGTCCTAGTTGCTCATCAAGTCCATAAAGATGGCTGGTTTCCACTTGGCTGACTACAGTTTTTGGTTGTATCCAGTTCACCAGCCCATAGCAGAGACTTTGATGTGGTGTTGATAAGGTTGATGATAATCCTGTCTTTTATGGTATCTTAATCTAGGACAAAAAATTAAAATGTCACGTAGTATAGACCATATATTTTCAGAGTTGTCCACCCTTTGAGTCCATGTTAGGAGGGACCAGGCTAAAACTGTGTTACTGTGTTCATACCAGACATGGAGTTCTCCGGTTCACTTGGATTCTGACCAGTAGCAGTAGACCTACATTTTTCCTTTCCGCATTTGGCTGAACAGATTATGTAAATGCTTCTCATCAGGAAAATTCCAGCAATAATAGAAAAATAACTCCCATAAATTAAAAACTACAAAAGAAAAATAAATTAATGAATGACATTAAAATGGGTATTCAACACTGAAGGTAAATAGTGATGCTTTATTACTAGCTGGGAGATCTTAAATAGATCATGGATTCTCTCTCTGCCTCCATTTTCTCAACTATGAAATTAGAATAATAACAATATTTACACATTTTTTGTGAGGATTAAATGAGTTATTACCTATAAGATATATAGAACAATACCCATGTAGTAGAATTCAATCAGTGTTAACTGTGCTTCTGAAACTCTCCATCTATATAGAGTATAGTCTTCCTTCTTGCTTGCCTTCTTTTTTCATATTCACATTTAGTGTATGAAATTGGGAGTTTATTTTTTTCTTAGAATATAACATGCTTGACAGTATTCTATCCAAAAAAATAAAAATAAAAAGAAAGAAGACAGCATATCTATTCAAAATATGGAAATGATACTAATAGATGAACAGAAGTTTAGAACTTGTATATGTTTCTAATGAATCGATGAAATGTTTAATCATTTTTAATGATTCTTCTTAGCTATACAGATCAAGAGGCCTTAATTATGTTTTATCTTTTAAAAAATTAGACTGTATTTGCTTTTAAAATTTTTGTTTGCATGGTATGAGTTTTCCTTCCTTCCCCCCTCCAAACTTCACATGTCTTTGTAATATTAAATGTGTCTTCTGTAAATAGACTATAGTTGTAATCCTTTAAGAATCTAACCTGAAGATACATTTTTATTTTTTTTCCTGGGTTGTTCAGCTTTGAATTGCTTGATTTTTATTTTTGGAAAATTATAAACATTCACAAAAGTGGACAGTATCCAAATGCCCATGAATCCATGACCTGTTTTCATCAATCACCAGCTCATAGTCACTCTTGTTTCTACAATTCCCCAGTCACTTCCCCTTTCCCCTCGCAGATTAATTTGAATCCAGTATCATATAATGTAATAAATATTTCAGCTTGTGTCTTTAAAAAGAGGGACGCACAAAAGCGTCACCATGAATCATTAATACACCTAAAATATTAGCAATTGTTTAATGTCTTCTAGTCAGTATTCAAGTTTCCCTGCTTGTCTCATAATATTTTTAGTTTCTGGGTATGAATCAGTAGTCAAATAAGATCCACACATTGTGATTGATTACTGAATTTCTTAAGACGCTATTGATCTTTTTAAAAAATTTTATTTGTTGAAAAACTAATTTCCCAGATGTTGGGTTTTTTGGTGATTATTCTGGGTGTCATGTAATGAGTTCTTTTGCTTCCCCTATTTCCTGTAAATTGGCTGTCCAATCTATGAGTTAATTTGTTATTTTAGTGACAACTAGCATATTTGTGTTTTTTGCCACCATATTTTTTCGATTTTTCATGCTCCTTAATTTTCCCCTCCTTTCTTGAGCTCTTTCATGTGACTTTTTTTCCACATACTATTTAATTCCTCTCTTCTGTATAAAAATTGCATAATCTACTTCTAATTTTTTTCATGGTTACACTTGAAATATTGACTCTTAAATAAACAAATCAGTAATGTATAAAGGTGATGGTGGTGGGAGTTGTCTGCCTTGGGTATGGGCAGTAAGTGGGGAGAACTCTGTGCAGAGAATTTTAAAACTATAATAAAACTGATTAAAAGTCTGTTGCATCTCATTATCGTCATGCTGCAGCAATTTAAACAATGCTGGTGATGAAATCCGCCTCCCTACCAGATGGACTCCCAACCTGTTCTCTGCTTAGTGTGTCACCCTAGCAGTTTCTAATCAATAATTCCTCCCCTCCTCCAGAAGAGCACAAAAATCGGGAGTTTTGAACATCCTCTACTGATAGATACTATTGTTGGCCAGTACTTTGGGCATCTTTTTAAAAAACTCCTCAAGATATAAAATATAAGTATTATTGTTTTATTTTTTACTTTTAAAGATTTTATTTATTTATTTATTTATTTATTTATTTTAGAGAGGATGGGGAGGGGCAGAGGGAAAGGGAGGGAGAGAGAATCTCAAGCAGACTCCAAGCTGACTGCAGAGTGCAACAGGGGGCGCCATCCCAGGACCCTGAGATCATGTCTTGAGCTAAAATCAAGAGTTGGATGCTTAACTGACTGAGCCACCCAGATGCCCCTAAGTATTAATGATTAGTGTTTGTTTAGATTTACTCACATGTTTAGTTCTTTTTTCACATTCCTTCTTTTGGGAATAGCTTCCTTTTGGGATAATTTTCCTTCTTCCTCAAATGCTTACTTTAGAAATTGTTTTTGTAAAGGTTTGTTGGTGATAACACACTGATTCTATTTCTGTTTGTCTGAAAATGTCTTTGTTTTACTCTTATTCTTACAACAGAGTTTCTCTTTGTCTATGATTCTGGGCTGGCCATTATTCTCTGTAACACTTGAAGCCCTTGCTTTGCTGGCTTCTACTGTAAGCTACTGACAGGTCCACTCTCGGCCACCTATAGCTGATTTCTGTTTCTCTAATTTTAAGATTTCTTTTTCTTTGGTTTTCTGCATTTAACCATAGTGTGCTTAGAAATGAATTTCTTTTTACTTACTCTTTTTGAGATTTTGGGGGCTTTTTTCTTAATTCTGAGAATACTTCTGGAAAATTCTCAGTGAATATTTCCTTTTTGGCATCTCTTTACTGCTTTTATTATCTCTTCAAGGAATTCCAGATAGATATTTGTTAAACTTTCTCAGTTTCATCTCCACATGTGTTAATTTTTCCACTTCCCTCTTTCTTTGCTGTATTCTTGGTGATTTTTTTCCCCATTCAGTAATTTTTCCTATTATGTGTCTAACTTGCTCTTAACATATTTAAGTTTCTAATCTCATGAGTTCTATTTTTCCCAAATATTCACAAGCATTCATGAAGTACCTCATTCCATTCTCATGTTATTATTTTCCTTTGTGTACAAGCCTGTCAAACATCTTTATATTCTAATGCTGGCAATTCTTCTGTCTCAAATCTTTGTCAGTCTGATTCTGCTTTTTATTATTTCACTTGGCTGGCTCATGCTACTTTATATCCAGGCACGATTTTGGACTTTTTATTTTTATTTTTATTTTTTAAGACTTTATTTATTTATTTGAGAGAGAGACAGTGAGAGAGAGCATGAGCGAGGAGAAGGTCAGAGGGAGAAGCAGACTCCCCATGGAGCTGGGAGCCAGATGTGGGACTCGATCCCGGGACTCCAGGATCATGACCTGAGCCGAAGGCAGTCATCCAACCAACTGAGCCACCCAGGCGTCCCGATTTTGGACTTTTTAAAAAATAATCTCATATTTGGTGGCATTTTATCTGTGGCAATTTTTTTTTTTTTAATTTCTGTATTGAGGGACAGTCTTTCCAGAGAACATTTGTTTTGATACATACAGGCACCTGGGGGCCATTATCAACCAGGGCCATTTCAAACTAAATACTCAGCTTTAGGAAAAGAAAAAAAATGTTTAGCCTGTAGAAACTGGGCCCTAGAATTATGTGAGTGCTGGCTTATGAAAGCAAATTTCCAGAGTAAATTCCTCTGATACCACCCAGATTCATCTTCTATGTTGGCATTTCCCCCATAATTTCATGTTTTGTTTCTGCTTCACCACTCACGGAGGATACAGCTTTTGGGGTTGCCACTAAAACCAAAATTCCAGGTCGCTGGGAGAATCAGCAGATGCTCAAGCACATGAGAGATTCAGTGCTTCCTTATCTATCTGGTTTCTTGTTCCTGCTTTGACCTCTGCAGAGTGTTCTTATTTCTTACCAATTCAGCCATTTATTTAAAAAAAAAATCTTAAATTTATATGCAGGAGTTCTAGGTGTTTTGTAGTGTAAAGGACTTTTTCTGATATCCAGTTTATTGTTGCTTTAATGGAAATAAGCCTTTCTTATTTTAGTATTTCTTAAATTCTATAGCTCTTAATGAAAGTAAGTCTTTCTTAATTTAATATTTAAAAAAACAACAACACTTGTTTACTTTAAACTTCAAACAACGTGGACACCACCCTTCTTTTCCTTCTTCAAACACAATCCCTCAACCCCACTCCTCTCAAGGTATTTGCCTTCAGACCATTTCCACTAGAACAGAAAAGTAAGAAAACAAGACAATGTCTAAAGATCAGGACTCAAACTCATTGAAAATCTGTATAGGCAGTTATTTTGTTTGATAATGAAAATCTGGGCTCACTTTCAGTTACTCTTTAAGATTCAAAAATGGTTTATGAAATAGTGAAACCCAAATCCAACAGACCACACATCTCACATGTTTTGAGTTAATGAATGCGGCCTGAAAACATTCATCTGACTCTCTGGACTGGCCAATAGTCCATGCTTTAAATACATCAAAAAAATCTCAGAATTGATATGGGAGGCTTCCCAGAATCTAAAGGAATCCCCATTCCATGCACTCAAAATAATAGCGTCACTGTTCTACTTTTTGTGAGATAATCTTTCTGTTTAGAGTGCCCCTTCCCTTATTAAGCCCTTTGGGGTTAAAACTAAAACTCCATTTTCATGATCCTAATTTTTATTTAATTTAAGGCAGCCAAAAGTACCAGTTATCCTAGCTAGATAATCTAATGGAGTGTGTAATCAGGGGTCCATCTGGTCCCCGAGTGGCTGAGTGCAGTGGCTTCCTGCCAAGAGAGCTGGGGAGGATCATTTCTCATTTCTCCATGAGCACATGGCAGATAGAGCAGAGCAGCAGCTGTGGTGTCCATGTCATCGAAGGGTCACTTTGTACCAGTGGCCTTCCCCTTTTCTTTTTCTTGTGTGCTTCCCCAACTTGCTGGTGATGGGATTCAGGACAAGTTACTCCCAAATATGACACTTTGGCATAGTGAATATTTTTTAACTGAAGGAGTCTGAGGCACGGCAGGTGCAGGAAGGACTTTCCGCCTTCCTTTGGAGCAGGTCGTAAGAACCGAGTGTCTATACCCGGAGGAAAGGAACATCCTTATCTCCAAAGATAAAAGGACACAGAGAGGAATCTGAATGAACAGGCAGTGTGAAGTTCCCCCAATTTACTATTCTTGGTTCATATCCTTTTTGTCCTATCATATTTTTTTTTCATAACTTTCCACCCTTTATCAAATCTAGCATAAAAACATTCAGGCTCAACTATTACTTGGGGTCTTCACTTCCTTACGAAGGTTCCTGTGTTACACAAAACTTAAATCAAATACATTTGTATGCTTTTGTTAATTTGTTTTTGTTACAGAGACGCAGCTGAGAACCAAATTGGGTGAGAGGAAACAATATTTTTCCCCCATGACAGGATCAAGAGTTGCTTTTCATGTTAAGCTTCAAGATCATCCAGGGAGGAGGCTGGTGAAAATAATGAGATTCATGAATGGGAGTTAAATGAATGTCAACTCTCTCAATCAATAAAAAATTGATGATTGGGGCACCTAGGTGGCTCAGCGGGTTAAAGCCTCTGCCTTCGGCTCAGGTCATGGTCCCAGGGTCCTGGGATCGAGCCCCTCAACGGGCTCTCTGCTCCGCAGGGAGCCTGCTTCCTCCTCTCTCTCTCTCTGCCTCTCTGCCTAGTTGTGATTTCTCTCTGTCAAATAAATAAAATATTAAAAAAAATTGATGATTACCAGTGTGTTCTCCATTCCAAAGGGCATCTCTGCAAACTGAAGGGTGGAACTGGGTGGGGAGTGAGAGGAATGGAGGGATATAGTAACAGGTAACCAACCTGTGAGTAATTGTGTGTTTTCATGTGAAACCTAACAAAGGGATTATTTTTTAAAGATTTTATTTGTTTACTTATTTGGGGAGGTGGAGAGCAAGCATACAGGGGGAGGAGCAGAGAGAGAGGGTGAAGGGTATAATTTCCAGAAGACTATCTGCTGAGTGTAGAGCCTGATGCCAGGCTCCATCTCAAGACCATGAGATCATGACCTGAGCTGAAACCAAGAGTCAGACACTTAACTGACTGAACCACTCAGGTGCCCCTCAAAAGGATTATTTTTTAAAAAGTTGACCTTTTTGGATTTGTGTGATTATTCACCCACTCCCTCTAAAAGTCCCTCATATTTACACCTATGAATTTCATCTATTTTTTAAAACAAAATTCCCCCAGAAAATTATTTTATATCATCAGTGTACCACAGTATGTTCTTATGCCTTCAGTAAAGCTATATTCTAAAGTTACTGCTTCTTACATAACTAGCTAAATTACTCCTTAGCTTTTTCTAGACGAGGTAAAAAGATTCTTTTAGCTGCTCTCATGGGCATTTTCCCCCTAGCCTTTCAGTAATATTCAAAGATATACATGGAACCTTTTTCTAAGATCTCTATGGTCCTTTTAAATTGAGAAATCTATAAAAGCCTATGTTGGGATAACAGGCTGAGAAATAATGAGGAAATGGAGGAATTAGTTCAGGATGCCTCAATGCAGATTTCTTTCCACTGAATCTCTATGTCCTATGAAAATGCTGACTTAGGTTGTAGTTTCTATTTTTTAGATTCCAATCTTTTATAATGGCACTTGAAATTATATTAAGAAGCTCATGGGAGATCATTAAGTGCATAACCAATGATAAATGGACATTTATGATTGAGACTTGGGAGTTACTAATCAATATAACCCTTTATTCTTGGTTTTCTGAAGTTAATCCAAGTGTATTTTATTAGATTTCTACCCAAAATCAATTTTAAGAGGGCTGCTTTTCAAACCCAGAAATCTGCAGTAACACTTTTTTGTCTGGGGGATATTTGATAGAAATAGGGGTTGTCTTCCCTTATGCCTTTGGACTGTATATTTTGTGCTTACCCTGCTCTGGCACCTGGGGAAACTAGTACTTTATTTAGGAGTTGAGTTTTACTTTACCTAACTTACATGAAAGAATCTCAAAGAAAGTTGTTGTAGCATTGAGGATAGTGGCAGAGATGATAAGACAAGATAGAAATACAAAGAAAGATTTTAGAGGAGTTCCCTGAATCTAGATTTCCCTTGGTTGAGAAGATAAAAGGATTTGGAAATCTTGGCTTATCAGGGGAAACAAAAATGAAGTGTGACTTTTTCTGCCAAACTTAATTTTCACCCCCGGCTTTGGATGTCCATGTGAGCTCCCCCGAAAGGTCAAAATTTATTGATTTTCCCACAAAGTTGTCACTTAAATCAGGTTACACAAAATAGTGCAAGGAGGAGGATGGACAGACTGACAGGCAATTTTCTTAAGTTCTGGGTTGCCTCCTTCAGTTTTAGGAATTCATTAATTTCAGATTAAGACTCAATAGATTTGTGGAAAAATAAAGGAGATATCTGGAGGATATTCCTGCAGAAGTCCTCAGAAAAGGTAAGTGCATCCTCAGAAAAGGTAAGTCAACAGAATTGACTCATGTGAGTATCTCTTGTTTCTTTTTATTAAGAAAGGAGAGAGACACATCTATGTATTGAGTACACTATAGCCTGGGAATGGTATATTTTAAAGGCAGGCATCTAATCTGTGTAAGAACTCATGAAGTAGGTATTATATTTTCCATTCTACTGAAGAGAAAACAGACATTAAAAAAAGAAATTACAGGGGGCACCCAGGTGGCTCTGTTGGTTAAGTGTCTGCCTTCAGCTCAGGTCATGGTCCCAGGGTCCTGGGATCAAATCCCATATCAGGCTCCTTGCCCAGTGGGGAGTCTGCTTTTCCCTCTCCCTCTGTGCTCTCTCATGCTCTCTCAGGTAATAAATAAAATCTTTAAAAAAATTATATCTCTAGGGGAAGAATGAGGAAGTGTGTGGCAGGTACAGATGAAATAAGATTGGCCATAAATTTGAGTGATTGATGCCTGGGATATCATGACACTATTCTTTCTAGTTTTATAATAGAATTAAAAGTTCTTAAGAAATCACTCATAAACATCAAGATTTATATCCATACTTTGTTGATTTCAGGCTTGTGCTCTCTTGATCACATCACATACCCTATGATTTCTAAAAAGCTGAAAAGCTGGATGATAAAACAGGAATTTAAATTTTATTTTAGAAAGTAACAACTGATCTCTTTATGTCCTCAAAAAGACCCAAGTCTATAGTAATCTTAGTTTTAATATTTATTTAATGAAGGTATCTGTTAAACTAGTTTGAGATTAAAAGAGATTTCTTAAATATTACTCATTCAATTGTGTATCCTGAAATGATTTCTTTTTCTCTTTTTGTTTTTAAAGAAGATGACTCAATATTCTAAACATTTGCATTAGGGATGTGTAGAGACATGTAAGATCTACCATTTTGTCCATGAGACTGAGTAGGCTTATGAAATCTGTGAACTAAGCATTCATAAGATTGAATTTTAACCAGGGCAAGAAAAACATTTAGCTCTGGGTAATGAGAACCTCTTAAACTGGAATGACTTTATGGGTCTATTTTAGGTAATGCTTTCATTCTTTTACCTGCTCAGTGAAAAGGTCACCTGTTTAATGAAAAAGTTTCCTAAGAAATAGGATGTATCTTAACTACATCGTATTTATACCTCTCAGTATAAAATTATTTCAGTGAAGACACCATGCTAAATGAAAACAAGCCAGAAATAAAAGGCTATCTCTCTATGATTCCATTTATGGAATGTCCTAAAATGACAAAACGATAGGGATTGAAAACCCATCAATTGATTGGAGAGGTAGCATGGAGAGAGGCAGCTGACAGCAAGGTGGGGTGGGCATTGTCTGGCTGAAGGGGTGGTTCTTTATTTTCATGTGGTGGTGGCTACACAGCTGTGTGTTTGCCCAAATTAACAGAACTGTAAATACATTTTTTATATGTCAATTTATTTTATGAAAATTATATCTCAGCAAGTCCAATTACTATGTGTAATAATATAAACATATGTATGTGTGTGTATAGTTTTCAAAGTACACCTCTGTGTCAGTGAGGGCACAGAGGCATGCCCTTACCTGGATGCTGACCGGAAGCCCCAGTCCCTGGTTGTCAACCACAGCTACAGTCATGACAGTCTGGATCACCAGGGCAATGAAGGTGTTGATTCCGAACACCAGGGCATAGCGTTCCACACTGAGATTAACAGCAACCTGAAATCTAAAAGTGTACAAATGGAAAGAGTTTTGAAAGTACACATATGTGGGCTTTTATTTTGTTAAAAAAATTTTTTTTATTCATTTGGGAGAGAGAGAAAGCAGAGAGAGCACACAAGTGACAGTGGGAAGAGGCAGAGCAAGAAGGAGAAGCAGACTCCTCACTGACTAGGGAGCCCTATTCAGGGCTTGATGTGGGGCTCCATCCCAGGACCCTGGGATCATGACCTGAGCAGAAGGCAGATGCTTAACCCACCGAGTCACCCAGGTGCCCACATATGTAGGCTTTTGAATACAGAGCAGGGAGTTGTGTTGTTTCCAAGATTTGTCTCCCCTCAGGCAGCCCAGGCTTCTGCTGAAGTTCTTGCTGAAAAGTTCTTCTAGCAGAGAAAAAGGAAAGAAGGGTAAATGGAATAGTGAGGTGTTATATTTTTAACATTCCATGTGATGTGATATAGTATAAGAATTTAAAACTAATTAACCTTCTCTAAAATTAAGCCAAATATTCCAAATGTTCTGCAACTAAGGAACACTGAACATTATTGGACATGGATATGGTTTAACAGCCACTCTTTAACCTTGATATATCAATGAGTAAATCACAAGTCTATTTGATGAGTTTTTACTTATTTGGATTCTCTTCTGGATCATTGACTGTCTACATTAGCAGTTTCAGAGTCTAATAGATGAATTTTTCTCTGGAAAACTCACAAATTATTTGCTCTCACAGTTGGTTCAGTCTGACTTTTAGTTCATTTTAAATAAATGATTGGGTTTTTGAATTTAGTCAGGTAAGACTGACATATATGCATTCAAATTCTTCCATCTAATTAAGCTAAAATATTTATAACCTGAATTTATTTAAAAAATGAAAACAAATGGAAAATTTTAAAGAATTTTTACATCCTCTCCCCAAATCCTCACATTAAAAAACAAATATAAACATTTTAAAATTATGTGATTCAATGAAAATGTACTATTTCAGTGCAAAACATTACCAACATAACAAAACCCATAAATTATCCTAGATCCCACAAAGTGAATATAACATGTGGTCCAGGTGAGCCTTATAATTTCAGGACTTTTTTGCTCAGCTAACAAATTTTCCTTTGGGGGAAAAAAATGCTATACTAGATAGATGCTCTTGAAACCTAGATTAAATCAAATGGCAGATTCCCTTTTAGTATACAGATTATTCCAGGTTGGAATCTTGATTTAATCTGTACAGATGCTTAAACAAAGTATCAGTGATTACTTTGTTTTGGATAAGACCTTTATATGTGGTAGATTCAGATAGAGGCATAATGATGACATCAGGCTCAGCATGGAATTGAATGCTAAGCTTTTTCAGACTAAACCCAAAAATTATTGTCCCAGGTAACTGAAATGACAAGGAATCATACTATCTAAAACCTTTTTAAAAGCTCCTGCTGGGTCATTTTACATAGGCATAAATCTACCATGCTGAGTACACTGCTCGGGGCTAATAAATTCTTGGGAACTGAATTGTATTCATGTTCTGTTAGGCAATTAACACTAAATACAGATAATCCTGTAAGATATTCTGTAATTTAAAGATAGAACCACTTTCAAATTTTATTTGATCATTTATGTTCCATATATTATGGCATTATGGGATTGAATTTACCCATTTACCCTATATGTTAAAGGAAAGTCAGGAACAATTTATAAAGCAAACAAAAACATTGTTTTTTGCCCATAAAAAAATTCAATAGCCTAAAGTTTTTTTTTAATGTTATATTATTGTATTTGTTCATAGTTTTTTTTTTTTAAGATTTTATTTATTTGAGAGAGAGAGAACATGAGCAGGAAAAGGGACAGAAGGAGAGGGAGAGAGAAGTGGATTCTCCGATGAGCAGGGAGCCTGACATAGGACTTGATTCCAGGACCCCAGAATCATGACCTGAGCTGAAAGCAGATGCCTAACAGACAGAGTCACCCAGGTACCCCTTGCTTATTGTTATTGTTGTTGTTGTTTTCCAGAAATGCTAACCAAATGTTCATTATGAAGCAGGGACTTCATGGGCATACCAGTGCACGAGCATGATTCTACTTTCACTCCAACAGGGAATACTTAACTGGACCCAGATAAGAGCTTTGACTAATATTAATTAAATTTATCACTTTTGTCATGAAACAGAAATATGGAGTAAATATCTTCTTTTGTAGAATAATCAGATTTTTTTTATATGAACTTCTTGTATCACATGATGGTTGAAACCATGGATGGTCAATCACCTTAGAATTTCTTCCAAATCTGAACTCTAATCCTTTACATTAGAAATACACTTATCCTACACATGCTAAATTTATTTTAAAAGTTTCTTAGAAGTTAGAGTAGTAAAAAGATGTAAGTGAGGTTACAGAGACTGGATTCACCTACAGAGAAAATGATATTCTATTAGTATTCTGAAGTTGGACATGGGAGTGATAATTTTATTTAGCACCAAATTTTGTGGATATTTGAGGACAAGTTCTCTTCCCCACCCCCCTGTGAGTGTGTATCCTAACACTAAGATACTATTTGTTGAGTCCTGCCCAGTAATTAGATAATTTAATTAATGTAACCAAAGTTAATTATATCTAAAATAATACCCCTTTTCACTAAGCTTATCAGTCATCTGACTGAATTGACAAATTAGATGAAAGATGATCATTGAGCTTTATGTAGAATGCTCTGAACATACTGTCTGGGAAAACCCTGACAATCAAAATATGAGTTCCATCTTCATGGCCTCTCAGAATCTTAGCATTCTCACTATTCCTATAGTTTAACCCTTCCTCATGTCTATAATAAATCATTCTGAGAATTTCTCAGAACACCAAAACATTTGGGTTGTTTTTTCCTAAACTATCTCATATTCTGACAGTTAATCTTATAATTTTTTTTCAAATTTTCCTATTTGTTTCTTTAGTAGAGCAAATTGACTAGCTTCACAGTATGCAATAAATATGCAGATGGCTGTGAACCAACCTGTTCTGAAATATTCAAGAATAATATACTTTTTACTTTTTCACTATGTGAAAGCTGTGGTCAACAACAGTAAAAATAACTCTGAAAAAAATTTTTTTTTTACTAATTTTCAAGGTCTCCATCTTCCTAAATATAGCAATTGAGCATTAAATCAAACTAATTTAGATTTGACTTAAGTTCCTTTTCCTAATCAAGAGTTAGACTGCTGAGAGAAAATGAAACCTTTCAAATAATTTCTAAAATAAAAGTGGGGGAAGATAGAGATCTCCTTGTTAAGATGTTGATGGTCAGGTAAGACTAAAATAACAATAAGAAAATAACAGGGCAAGCCAAAAATCATACTATTCCATAAAGAAAATGTAAATATAGTAAAGCTGCTGAAAATCAAATAAAAATAGAAAATCTTAGAAACAGCCAAAATGACAACAAACTCCTTAAGGCAAGCTGGAAGACAATGGAATAATAATAAATCCTTAAAGTGTTGAATGGGGGAAAAAACACTATCAAGTTAGAATTCTAATCAGCAAAAATAGACTTTAAAATGACATAAAATGTATTTTCAAATAAATAAAATTTGAACAAAATTGTCACCAGGTGGCTTGTACTAAAAGAAATGTTAAAACAAGTTTTCAGGGTGCCTGGGTGGCTCAGTTGGTTAAGCAACTGCCTTCAGCTCAGGTCATGATCCTGGAGTCCCAGGATCGAGTCCCACATCAGGCTCCCTGCTCAGCAGGGAGTCTGTTTCTCCCTCTGACCTCTCCCCTCTCATGCTCCCTCTCTCTCATTCTCTTTCTCTCTCTCAACTAACTAACTAAATAAATAAAATCTTTAAAAAAAATAAAATAAGTTTTCAGGCTTGGGGAATCAATAGCAGATGGAAACATGGATCTACAGAAAGAAATGAGAAGAATTAGGAATTGTAAATCTATGAGTAAATATAAAAGATTATTTTTTTGGTCCTAATTAAAAAAATTTTTTTCCTGTTTGAAGTAAATAGACTAATAATGTATTGTAGGGTTTATAACAGAAACTGGAGTAAAATCTCTAAAATAGTACAAGGCACAGGGAATAAGTGGAATTGTTGCTGTAAAGTATTTACACACAAAGTGGTATAGTATTAATTTAACAAAAACTGATGAGTTAAAAATCTAATCCCACTAAAAACATAAAGCCTTAGCCAAGAAAAACAAGAAAAATGGAATTAAAAAAGAAAACTCAATTAACTTCAAAAGAGGAATAAATGCAAATGAATAAGTGGGACAAATAGTAAACAACAAGCTGGTAGATATAAACTCAATTGTAAGTTACATGGAGTTCATGGGTGAGCCTCTTGAATGTACAAATTAATGTTTTAAATGAATGTTCATGCATTTTTTGAATATATGATTAATGCTTTTGATCAAATCTGGGAACTTTCTCACCATTATCACAACACTTTTTTTCTCCTTTATGTTCACTTCTTCTGGGACTTCATAATGCATATATTGATATAGTTTTTTGTGTTCCATAGGTGTCTAAGAAAAATTTAAGGCCAAATAGCATGTCCAAGATTATACAGCTGATGTTAGGTCAAGGAAAACATTTTTAGATGTTTGCTTTGTCTTTGATCAACTTCCTAATTAAAATCAAACATACTGCCACACAGGAAATGATGAGCAATACCTACCTAGTCCTTTTTAAGGTATTCTCTAGGCAACATTCATCACTTCCTTAGCTCATTTTCTTTCTATTCTAATTAATCGAGATCAAATATTCCCTATGTTTAAACTACTGTATGATTTAACATTTCTTATTTTTATATGTAGTTTTATAGAACAGCTTCAGTTCTACAGCTGCTCTGAGACTACTTGATAAATTGTTTCAAAAAGAAACAGATGTGCTATGATTATTCAAGCAGGTAGGGGGTGAAAACTAAACTGAGTCAAAATTAGATACAATCACATCTCAATAAATAAAACAAAATCAAATTAGAGAAATTAGAACTATGGTACACTGTTGGTGGGAATACAAAATGGTACAGCCATTATGGAAAACAGTACGGAGGTCCCTCAACAAGTTAAAAATAGAACTACCATACAATCCAGAAATTCCCACTTCTGAGTATTTATCGAAAATAATTGAAATCAGGACCTAGAAGAAATGAGAGCACTCCCATGTTCATTATACTGTTATTCATAACAACCAAGATGTGGAAACAACCTAAATGTCTGTAGATGGATTAATGAATAAAGAAAATGTGGTGTAAACGTACAACTGACTATAATTTAGCCTTTAAAAAAAAAAGGGAAATCCTGCAATATGGGACAACATGGATGCATATTGGGAACACTAAGCTACATGAAATGTTTCAGTCATAGAAGGACATATGTTGCATGATTCCATTGATATGAGTTGTCTAAAATAATCAAATTCATAGAAGGAAGAATAGAATGGTAGTTTCTAGGGGCTGCGTGAAGAGGAAAATTAAGTTGCTACTTAATGTGTATAAATACATATCTTTCAGTTATGTATCATAAATAGGTTCTAGCAGTCTGATGTACAGTATTGTACCTACAGATAACAATCCTGCAGTGTGCACTTAAAAGTCTGCAAAGAGAGATAGAACTCATGTTACGTGTTTTTTTTTTAATTTTATTTTTTTAAAGATTTTCTTTATTTATTTGACAGAGAGAGAAATCACAAGTATGTAGAGAGGCAGGCAAAGAGAGAAGGGGAAGCAGGCTCGCCACTGAGCAGAGAGCCTGATGTGGGGCTCAATCCCAGGACCCTGGGATCATGACCTGAGCCGAAGGCAGAGGCTTTAACCCACTGAGCCACCCAGGCGCCCCTCATGTTACATGTTTTTACCAAATTAAAAAAAAAAGAGGGCTATAAATGAAAAAAATCGATAAAATTATTCTGTTAAATAAATACAATAAAAAATATAAACAATCAAAACCTCAGAGCATATTGCTATTTATTAATTATGAGAACTTTGAATTTTTTTGCCTGATTAATCAAGTTCCAGGAGAAAGTCTGTTAAAATAGGAATATTGTTGTTGTTTCTTATATTAAGCATTAATATATTAATATATTAAGCATTAAATATAACATTGCAAATGCTATTCAGAAGAACTAGAAGAATAGATAAAGAAACCTGTTCTGTTGCTTGAGATTTAGATAAAGAAATGATAAATACTTACGCTGCTATCGTTATGAGAAACATGTAACTTGACTTGAATATCACGAAACCAGCGTAGCACACCCAAATATTATTTGTGTAATGCATGAGAAGTAGAGAACCTGCATCCACTGCTGAGAACATTGCCAGGGCCATCTCTCCCAGGAGATCCCAGTTGACTTTCACACAGCCTGCTGTGAAGGCTGCCAGAGCCCCTGGAAAGGAAGGAATCAATATATATTACATCTTGTCATTCCACACATACAAAGTAGGGTGATGTTTTGTTAAAATTCACACTGGATGGGCACTGAAGCATTTCCAGGCTATAGTAAAAAAAATGTTGACCAATCATGAACTTTGATTGAATGACAATCACTTGATCCACCTCTGGGAAGTGTGCATATCTTTTTCTCTTAAAGTTTGAAATAGACCAACTGAATTTGGGTCTCCGTAAATCACAGACTGGAATGGCCCCAGAGAGGCCATTTTTTCCTTTTTTCTTCCCTTCGCAGAAGATAAAATTTGGGTTCAGAAACCTGGTGTCAAACAAAAACAAATCCAGACTTTGATAGGGGGAGGCTTTATTTAGAAGAAAGAATTTCAATAGGAAGGACACTGTGATTGCTGAAATCTGCAAGCATCTTAAAATCAAACAGAAAAAGGGTTTACTTTTATAATGTAATCCTTCATTGTAGGGCAAGCAGCCATAAATGGGATCTTTGGAGAGGAAGCTGGACAAGGAAGGGGAAACGATCAATGGAGACTGACAGGAAAGTGTCCTGCTGCGGTCCATCTTCAGAAGATGATGGGGGCTGGGGCACATTCCACCTCGTGTTGTGTTTACTCAGAATTGGGGCAAGCAGAATGTAAGGGGTCTGTTATAAGGAGACGAGCCTGACTCAAGTTCAGTCAAGACAAAGCACCGTGGAAGGAACAGTCCGTTGTGAACACTTGGTGACCAAGTGAGGCACCAGGTTCTTCAGACTGAATGCCAGCCCTTGCTACCATGTCCTCCTCTGTGCCACATAACAGATGTTCTAGCAACAAGGGATTCTCTTTCTCTCTGTCCTTATCCCTGTTTTCTCTATCTTCTTTATAACATCGATTTAAAAATTACCTCAAATCCTTAAAACATACCTATCTTATTTTTAAGAATTCTCTCTTATACACTTCCCCCATTTGTTGGTTTAATCATTCCCCTCTTTGTTGACTCATTCATTCACCTACTCACTCATCAAATGTTTTTGAGCTTCTCTGTGAGAAAATATGGTGGTAAACATTGGATCCTTGCTCTTGAAAATAATATAGCCTACTGGAGAAATGAGATGTATCAACTTTTCATTTTAATAGTGTGTGACAGAATTGTAGAAATGCTGCCCTTAACTCAAATTTAAACTAATCGTAACCTAGCGGTTCTCACAAACGTGTTTTTGTCCTTCAGGGGAGACATGGCAATATTTGAAGACAATTTTGGTTGTCATGACTTGTCAAGGGTGTGGGGTGGTGCTGGTGGTGGTATGTTAAGGGGATCTAGTGGGTTGGGACCGATGATGTTATGGAACATCTTACAAAGCACAGGACAGTCCCCCAGGACAAAGAATTTCCCTGCCCAAAATGTCAGTATTGCTGAGGATGAGAAACTCTGAACCAAGCCCTACATGTAGTCACAAGACATACCCCCGGGACATATTCATGTGATGATATGTATTATATGGATGTATGTATAATATGTTCCTACATCGTTCTGTGAATGAAGTAATCAGTTGTCAGGTTTCTTGCTACCCTTAGCTTTCTTTCTTAAAGACATGGCTTAATTTACATAAGGCATTAGGTCAGCAAAACAGTCTACTTCACCTGGTTCTGCCTAAAAATTTGACACTAATTAGGGTCCTCACAATCACAAAGAGACTAAAGAAAAATTGTGTTTGGGGAGCTTTTAAAGAATGAATTTTATGCCCATTTTACCTTTCCTACACATGCCTTCAGTAAGGGTACATTATCTAAAGAGAAGAAGATTGTTTTCTCCCTTCTCCCAAGGAGCAAGTCCTTAGAGAGGAAAAGAGTTTAAGGTAAACAAATCCTAGAACAGGTTTCTAGGAGTCAAAATGGAATTTTTAGAAAAGGAAGTGAGAAGAATATTATCTCAACAATGGACCCTGAAATGTTCAATAAATATATGGGTGTGGAACACCCCAACTTCAAAAATAATATCTTCAAAGTCTTATTTGATGTGAAAGCTTTGTAATATCAGGAAAAACCATGTGCGTTGTTGGGCTCACTTCAAAGACAGCTCTGGGCTCTACCCTTCAAACTCTAGAGGATTAACCCTGTGTCAACCCATCTTCCCTCCTCTTCACCTCATTTTCTTTGGAAAAGGATTTTAAACTTCACAAAATATGTTCTGGGAAAAAGAAGAGTCCATGGACAAGAATCTAAGAACCCCCAAACCACGGTAGCTTCTCAGCCAGGAGGGAAGTTTTCGGAAGTCAAAAGCCCAGGATGGGGTTGAGGGGGAATCCTGTAGCAGAAGCTGGAAACCCTCATTCTCCCAGAGATCTTCTCAGGGTCACTCAGTCTCACTGCCTCTTTCCTGCTGCACAAAATTCAGTATCAGAAATCCATCAATAGGTAAATAAGGTTGAAGCAAACACTTAACCAGTCAGCTCCAGGAGAAGGAATAAATATTCAGGAACACACATAGCCTCTTGGAGGTCCCCCCTCTCCCAACATGTCACACCCTGCCTTTCTCCTTTCCTAGCACTCGTTGTCTCCCGCTGCCATTTTCTCCACACTCAAAGATTGCTATTTGTTAAGAACTACTGTGGAGAGACACAATTCTTACTGCTTCTTACTAATGTCAAAATAATGAAAGTATATTGTGTAGAAAGGACCAGAGAGAACAGTATACAAGGTAATACAATAAGCTAGCTGTGGAGAAGAAATGGGATGTAAGATTATAAGAATCCTGTTTTGATTCACTATTATTTCAGAAAAAATCTGGATATAATAGGGAATGGGGAAAGCTGAGTAGGGAAAATAATCTTAATCAGAAGGCAACAAGTTTTGGCAAATCTCTGCATGTAGAGTTAAGGAAAGATATAAATAAATTATTTAAGTTGTCTCAAAAGGAACCTTTAAATGATAAAGTAGCTCATAGAACAGTAGCTTTCAAACTTCTTTAACCATAGCCTGAAAAAAAGAAATATGTTTTATATGTCCACCAGTACATACATATTTGTATGTAAACAGTTTTCACAAAACAGACCTTATCCCTATAAGCTGCTGTGCTCTGTATTCTATTCTATTCTAAATTTTCTATTCTGTTCTTTGATTTAAAAATGCTGGTCAGAAATCCACTACATTGATTTCAAAATCTGTATTCTATAAAGGGCCAAAGAGTAAATATTTTAGGCTTTCAGACTACATAGTCTTCTTTGTTTTTATTTGGTTGATTTATTATTTTTACAAACCTTGGCATATATTATTTTTTCCCTTACAACGCATGAAAAATGTAAACATTATTAGCTCTCATGGGTCTTGGGCCATTGTTTGCCCACCTCTATTAATAGTTTGCAAACCACAGTTTATCAATTAGAATTAGAGAGCAATTAGAGAGGAAAGTGATTTGGTAGCTTAACCCTAAACCATTCAACTCTTTATGGTCAAACCAGGTTTGGCCAGTGGGACAGAAATTTGCAGTCCCTGTTTCTAGGGGGTAGGCAAAACTTTATTTTCCATGGATAACTTCATCAATCTTCCCTTATATTCATTGCCTCTTTTAAATTTTGTGTTAAAGCTCTTTTTTTTTTTTTTTTCAGAGTATTTGGTTTTTAGTATTGAAGTCAGTACAATGAATCTAAGACTATGATTTGGAAGACTATATTTCTTGCACTAAGAACAATAACTGCTCTGAAAAGATAAAGTCTGGTATGCTGACCTCCAAAGGTTGCAAGGGCTTCTACTGCTCCATTATAGATTGTAGAACTCTGGGATGGTGCCTTATAATCCCACAGGATTTGAACATAGTTCAAAACCTGATTAAAACCTGCTGTGGAGAAGGCCCACCACAGGGACCAGTAAAAAAGTTGCTCTGAGGAGTAGCACTCCTTCAGATCTTGGAACCACTGCACAAAAACCATCAAAGTTGCGTTTTCCGGCTTTGGAGTGCTTAACGAACCATCATCCAGATTCTTTGAAAAGGTGAATATTTCTTGGTAGACTGGTTTGTGACCCTTTTGAGGTTCCTCTAAGAAAGCATCTCTTCCTCTTGGTTTTGGAGAAGCCCCTGTGCTGGGTTTTGCATGAAAAAACATGCTCTTCTTAGGCATTGGTAGGAGAAGTGAGAAAAGAAAGGCCACAGAGACGGAGGCCAAGGATATGACATTGAGGCAAAAGTACGAGAGGCTGGCCAGGGATACCAGGAGCTGGGCCAGCACCGAGGCCGCTGTGTAGGCCACCAGCGTGATGCTTCTGCAGTAGCCGCTCACTTTCTGGTAGTGCTCAGGGCTGACCACGCTGTAAATGTAGGCATAGTACGCCACCTCGGTGGCAGAGACCATCCCATAGAAGAACTCTAGCACCTGCATGGCTCTTAATCCTTGGCCAAATACGAGAAACAGCCAGGTGATGATGAAGCTGACTCCTTGCAGGATGATGACTGGCTTGTAGCGGACGTAATCGGTCAGGACGAACACGGGGAGCAGCAGCACCAGGTAAGAGTATGTCCATATTGGGAAGATCTCATTTGTGATCTGTAAGGTTAAGTGGGGGAGGGGCATAAGGACAAAAGCACTGGAAGTAAAACACACCATAGATCTCTGACATAAAATATATTATTCAAAGGACATGTATCCATCCTAGGACACATTGCTTGGCCCACGTCAATTTGATACTTCACATGAGTTTCTGACAATACAGTGGAAAGTCATGGAAAATGGAAATTCAAGGAAAACAAATGGCCCAAATCATGGATATTCCTAACATGTGGGTTCTTCCCTCCAGTATAAAGAAAGAGCAGTCATTGTTCTTAGTTACCTGCTTCTTACATTTTAAAATGGAGTATCATCTGCATAAGCCACTGAGGCTGGGAAAGAGGCCATAATGCTTATGTTAGGCTTACCAGCTTTCCCTAGGGCAGTATCGGCCTGCTCACGTGCTGTTGCCTCTCCTTTTAAAATAGTTGACTCTTCTTCAATAAGGTTAAAAAGAATGTTTCAGTACTGGCAGAACCTAACCATATTTGCCTTTGATCCACATCAGTATGTGCAGACCATCAAGAGATCATCTGGGTCATCAGGAACACATAGGACAAATGACCAGTTCAAGACCGAATATCAGAAGGAATGCTAGTCTGTCTTCTGTTTTTCCGCATTCTTGGCCTTACTCTTTTGGGCTGCTGTGGAGGAGCCACGAGAAACCAGTTATTATCTTTCTTTTTTAAGTCAGCTTTGGCCACAGTTTTCGAGGAAGGAGTCGGTGGTATCAGCAAATCATCTGAGCCCATCAATAGAACATAATTATTTTAGCTTCTATAAGCTGAATCTATAGTGGGTTGGAGATGATGTAAAAAAGGTTGGGGTAGAACCCCTTAAATCCTTCTCAGATCCCAGGGTCCCAGATCACTGATGTAAACCTGCCAACTTACTGAGCCCGAGAATGTGTTTTGACGTAAACTGTGCCCTGACTCCTTGAGTTCTCAGGTCACCTTCTACCTAAGTGTTCTTATAGTTTGATAGAACTTCATTCTGGCTCTTCCCGACAGAGGTAGTCACTAACCCGGGAAAAGCTATGTTCCAGATCTGTTTCTAGGGACCGTCTCTGGACTCTAAATCCAGTCCAGGGGTATCTCCCAGACAAACCTATCTGCACTTACTGGCATTCAAGATTGGCATGTACCTTTTTAACTGGGAAGGAAGATGGTGGATGGGTTTAGAGGGAAGACTTTCCTTGGTGTCCAGTAAGGACATGAGGATGTTTTTCAGGAAAGGGAGGCCAAGGGAGATATAATTATAACCAACCCATAAAAATGGGTGCGACATTTTTTCCCTAAGGAAATTGAATCGATACAGTGCTTTGTCTGATCTTGTTATTGTTCAGTGATTAAAGGGAAGGTTCTTAAATTTTACCTGGAAGGTCTATTAAAAACCAGACATTTAGACTCAGTAGATCCGGGGTGGGGCCTGAAAATGAACATTTCTAACAAGTTACCCAGGTGATGCTCTTGCGTGGGTCGACGGACCATGGTTTGAGAAACACTGACTCATAAGCTCCTTAGGATTAGATCCTATGACCTGCCTAAAAGCCAACAATAGCCTTCATATTTACACATAAAGAGGAAAAAAAATCTTCAGAGGATTTTTTCATATGCTTTTTCCCAATTTTTCCCCTATAAATCTTATACTATCCTCTAAGGTTTATGCTTATATCTAGGTATGGCTGTTTTATTTTAGATTCATAATAATAAGCAATGACATCCAGGAGTATTGTTTTTATGCAGCTCAAAGGTTGTTTTGAACTCACCCCATTTGTGAGGTAGCAAAGAGTTTTATATTTTAAATGACAAATACACAGAAATCATGAAGGCCCATTTGTTCGTCTTTGAGATTGTAAGAAGTGTTGATACTTTGCTCCCACCCAAGGCTTTAGACATTGGTTCTAACAAGACATAAATCTAAGATAAGCATGTTAGTAAACTTACCACACTGAGGCTTATATTTTTATCTGGTCCTGCTAAATAAGGTACGACAAATGGTTCTGATGGTTTCATCATTGAGAAAAATCCAAAGCAGCAGAGGTTTACTGTGGGGAAAACCCAGGAATTGCTTGGTGACGTCCGGCAACAATTCATGGATGGTTAAAATGGTTAAACTATTGGAGAAAAAAGAAAAAAGGAAGTCCAAAGATTGATGGTTTCTTTTCATAAAACTTGTGTTCTCTTCCCCAAGCTCCATTTGTCCTATGGTCTTAAAAATGACAATAAGAAAATCGTATGACAGTAAATACACATATCACAGGTCAAAATACAGGGACTTGAGTCTTGTCTTTGGATCTTTTGGTTTAAAGAGAAAACTAATGGTTACCTGAAAACACTGCAGTAAAGGGCTTAAGTTTCATCTGAGCTGGAGTGGCAGGGTCACTGAGGAAAATTTACTCCCCAGTACCGCAAGCCAGTAGGTTTCTCCTGGAATCTTTTTCAGTAGAAAGGAGTCAGGGAATTTCTCCTCAGGCAGAAATCTTGGGCATAAGATAAGATTGGTGGAATTTTGATAAACGTAGTTGCTAAGCAAACATCTGCTTCATGCCCCCCTGTCATGAGCCTATTACCCTGTAGCAGCTGATGAACTGGAAATTCACTTTAATGAGTGCTTTAAAATGGTGAATAAAATAGCCTTTGGGGAGTGAAGATTTATAAAGCAGATAGACCCCTTGCTTTTTCTAAGAATCAAACTCAAGGTGAACCTTGGTTTAGCATAAGAAACCACAGATTTGCATTGTCATCCACCCAGGTGATTTGATTTGTTTTTAATATCTCTTCAGAAGAACTCCATGACATCTAGACAACATGGCATCATGCATGAAATTCAACAGGACTTAAAAGTATTTCTGTGAGGTGATACTTAGCACTTGCTTTGTTCCTGTTTTTTGCGCTTACATTGTTAATACCGAAACGTGAGAACTTAAGTTCAGGAGGTTAAGCCTTAAAGTCTGCTGAGGGAAGATACGTGTAGCCCTTAGGGAGGCAGTCGACTGCTCTGAGAGAACGTCACTCACTCAGTCATTGACCGTTTCCTCCCCGAAGCTTCCAGACCCTCTCCAGCTTCTCTCCCTCCTTCATCTACGCTTCCTCTCAGTCACAGCCCTGACAAAGCAGGGTGCCCTGACGGTCAAGGGCAGGGCTCTGGAATCAGTAAGGTCCAAATTCTTCCTGCTATTTACAAGCTTGTAAACTATGGCAAGTTACCGACCTCTTCAGTACCTCAGATTTCTCATATGTAAAGTGGGGATGGTGATATCTACCTCGTGTTGTAGAGATTACACACATTACTACAAGCTAGAACAATGCCAGTCAGTAAGCACACACTATGCGTTCTGTGGAAGGCATGTCTTTGGAAGACACTGAGGTGCCTCTGATGTGCACATCTGTTTGTTAGCCTGGCAGTTAGGGGGGCAGGAGGCAGGGATTCATTTTTGTCACTGAGTCTAACACACAATCTCACACATCAAAAGTCTTCTGGAAATGTTTGTTCAAAGTACAGCCATTGGGCCAAACATGGTTTCTAACTGAGCAGAACAATTCAAATAATAATAAGGAGATATTTCCCAAGTTTTCTAATTACTTAAAGTTGTTCTCTGGAGTAGGAAATACCAGCCACTGTTTGCTTCTCAAGAATATGGAAGTTTGGGGTGCCTGGGTGGTTCACTGGGTTAAGCCTCTGCCTTCAGCTCAGGTCATGATCTCAGGGTCCTGGGATTGAGCCCCGCATCTGGCTCTCTGCTCAGTGGGGAGCCTGCTTCCCTCTCTCTCTCTGCTTGCCTCTCTGCTTACTTATCATCTCTCCCTCTGTCAAATAAATAAATAAAATCTTAAAAAAAAAAAAAGAACATAAAGGTTACTCTTTTTTCCCCCCAAAATTTATTTATTTGAGGGGGGCAGGGAGAAAATCCCAGGCAGAACCCCCACCACCACTCCGCTGAGCATGGAGCCCAATGTGGGGCTCAATCCCAGGACCCTGAGACCATGACCTAAACTGAAACCAAGTGTCAGTCATTTAACCAACTGAGCCCTCAGATGCCCCTGGAGGTTACCATGAAAATAGTTTTGGATCAACGAAACGAGGATTTCCTGGTGAGAAGAACACGGCTTTTGCAGTTGAGAAATTCAAATCTGGACTACACCTTTTGAGCTGTGTGACCCCTGGACACAGTTTCTGAAGGGGCTGAGGCCCCAATTGTCCTCATCTGGGCAGGTGGGTAACTTCCCTTTCCACCTCAGATGTTGGCAGCCGGTTTGTCAAAGAGTGTTGAACTCAAGATGGGTGGATTTGTTGGTCTGACTAGAATACGGAATCCGTTACCACCACCATGGGAAGATTCACATGACAAGTGATCATGGGGAGAAACAGCCAGAACAAATCCTCTCGAATGTGAAATTGGGAGGGCTCCTCTCAGGACGGGCTCCAAGTTGGCCCCCCTGCTGGTATCCTCACTGCAAAAGGACCCTGCGTTTTCATTTTCTCTGTGGTGCTCTGCCTGCGTAGCCCCTCTGAATTGAAGGGCTTTCCTTATGGCCTGTGGAAAACTAATGCGAAGAACGTTGAAACCACGAGGCATGTGCTATTCCCTGATATGTGGTCTCCCCTGAGACTGACGGGAGTGAAGAACCCAACATGATAGTTGCAAACATTCCTTCCTTAGACCTCCTTTTCTAATTCCAAGGCATTTTCCTCTTTTTAAAACTAATGGTAGGGTTACAGCTTTAAAAAAGAGACAAATACTGAATTTACAATCTCAGGTTACTCTAGTGGTATGATTTTAATAGTTCAAGCAGGTGATAATTCTTAGTTGATTTTTAACCTGTTGCTTCAAAGGTCGTTGGAAATTAGTTAAAAAGTTACCAAACAAAGGCCCTGATTTGCTTAGTTATGTCAAAATGTAAATTTCTAGTCTTCTGGAGGAGGACGTTGGGTGCACTGAACACAGTGGGCTTCCGTTTCAGGACACAGGTCCATCCCAGGTGTTTCAGGAGGGGGAGTTCTGCAGCTTTGGGGCCCTTGCTGTTTGAGGAGCAGGAGCACTGCTATGAGTGGGTGGGCATTTAATAAGTATCCCAGCTATTACTGTGATGTGGACCTTCTGATAGATGTGTTTTCTGCTGTACTTAACATAGCTGGCTGAACTTAGTCAAATTCCTTTGCCTCTCTGGGCCCCACTGATTAAAAGAAGGTAACAGTGATGTACTTTATTATTTGTGAAGAGTTCATGAGGTCAACAGGAGACGACTCAGGGCACTGCCTAATACAGTAAATACCAGTGTCTTTCCCTGGCCTTTCTTTGAGAGTCTGGTCTAGTTCCAGTGACCCAGGAAATCACACCCCCAATGAATCCCTGATAAAGTAGCAGCTCATAATGTTAGACCCACGTAAGTTGAATTATTGATCATCAGTACACAATGTAGGAATAATTTCAAAATTAATTTAAGAGAATAAGAAGACACCAAAAGAGTAAGTTTACAATTTAAGATTGTGAGGAAAACTATTTCTTTAAGGAATTAAATTGTCTGAAAGCCCTTTATAAATACTAACTTACATATGAGAGATCATAAATCATTCTTACTTGTCTTTTAATCAGACCTTTATGGTTTGCCATAAAGGGAACATAATCAATTTAGTTAGGGTTTGCTTGAAACACATGCTGTCCACACCTATACTTCTCCATTTAAATGTTTTACTAAATTCATTTAGATTCTTGTCTAAATTAATGAACATTTACTGGACATACTTTTTAAAGAATTAGGAGAAAATGATCTCTATATTCCAGCTCACCATGACTCAGTATTAAAATTTGTTTTCTTTTTTTTTTAATCTAGATGACTTAAATCAGCTTTACATGTCAACATTTTCCATCTGAACCTTGCTCTGCCCTTTCTAACCAGCTGTGTTGGTTAATACACACTGGCCAAAATCATCATTTTTAATGGTGATTAGACAGATTTCTTTCTAGTTGACTTTCAGTGTTCATATCACTCATCTTGCTATTTGGATGCTATCAGGTAAGATTAGGGACTCATTTCAATGGCATGGTTCCCTTGCACCCAGGAAATCACAAGGATTAATGAATTGTTGAGACCAGTTTTGGTACTGGGAAGTGATGTGGTACTGTAACAAACATAGAAACGTGGAAGTGACTTTGGACTGGAAAATGGGTAGAGGCTGGAAGAATTGTGAGGTACTAGATAGAAAAAAATTTAGAATGCCTTGAAGAGATTGTTGGTAGAAATATTGCCATTATATGCACTTCTGTTGAGGGCTCAGAAAGAAGAGGAGTGCTACAGAGAAAGCGTCTATTGTTTTAGAGACCAGGAACAGAATGTTGCTAGAAATATGAACGATAAAGATGCTTCTGGTGATGTCCTAGATGGGAAGGAGAAACATGTTATTGGACACTGGAAGAAAGGTGATTTGGTTCTAAAGAAAGGTTGTAAAATGGCAAAGAACACAGTTTAATTATGTTTCATTGTTGGAAAGAGAGTAGAACTTGTAAGCAATGAATTTTGCTTGGAGATAACTTTGCTTGGAGAGTTCCAAGCAGTGTTGAAGGTACAGCCTGGCTTCTCCTTTCTACTTATAATAAAATGTGAGAGAAAGGAAAGAAATTGAGGGAAGAACTCCGAAGCAAAAAGGAATCAGCACTCAGTGACTTGTAAGATTCCCAGACAATCTAGAGAGCATACTTTATAAACAGTGCCAATAGTGTGGCTGGACCATCACTGGCTAAAGAGCTCAGGTGTTTGGCTGATGGATCCAATCAACCATCTTGGTAGAAGCCAGGAATGGAGATGGGGTTATCCTGGAAAGCTCCATAGAGGACCCTCTGGTCTGATGGCTTGGACCTCTGTGAATTGCATTCTACTGGTATAAAATTGAGAATGTTATACCAGTAGAATCACTACCAGCTTGGCTTAATAGGGGCATGAAACAAAAAAGGGAGTGAGTCTGAGAGCAGAGGCACAGATGCAGAAGTTTGGGCTGATGAGACCCCCTCAGGCCTATAGGGTAAGGCTGCTGGCCTGTCAGACCCAGAGGACAGAGCATTGAGCCACAAAGAATTATTCTCAGGTCTTGAAATCTAATGGAACTTGCCCTGCTGGATTTTAAGTCTTCCTTGAGACCCATTACCTGCCTTTTCCCCTTCCAATTTCTCCTATTTGGAATGAGAATGTCTATCCTATGCCATGATAATTCTATTTTATAAGCAGATACCTTGTTCTCTGGTTCACAGATGGAGGGGAATTTTACCAAAGGATGAATCATACCCCGGGTCTCACCCATAGTGATTTATATGATTTAAATGATGAAATTTGGGACTCTGAATTGATGATATTTAGATAGCAGCCTGGATTTAGAGTGAATACTGGGATAGTTAAGACATTTGGGAATGTTGGGAATGGGGTGAATGTAATTTTGTACGTGGGGGGCGAATGTGAATTTTGGGAGGTCAGAAGGTGGACTGTTAAGGGTTGAATTGTGTCCCCACCCAAAAAATACATTGAAGTCCTAATTTCCAGTACGTTAAAATGGAACTTACTTGGAAACAGGGTTGTTGCAGATATAATTAGTTAAGAGGAGGTCATCCTAGAGTAGGGTGGGCCTTTATTCCGATATGAGTGAGAAGCTCATAAGGAGAGACACAGATACAGAGACCCACAGGGAGAAGGTGGCCACGGGCCAACAAAGGAAAAGATTGGAATGATACAGCTACAAATCAAGGAACAGTGAGTATTTCCAGGAAACACCTTAAGTTGGCAGAGGCAAGGAAGGCTCTTCCCTATAGCCTTCAGAGGGAGAAGGGACCTACGGACACCTTAGTTCTAAGCTTCTAATCTCCAGAACTATGAGAGAGGCAGTCAATTTCTGATGTTTTAAACCACCCAGCTTTGTAGTGCTTTGCAGCCACTTTAGGAAGCTGATATTGATTACAATACACCTAATTTAAATTTTTTTTTAATTTAAATTCAATTAATTAACGTATAGTATATTATTAGTTTCAGAGGTAGAGGTCCGTGACTCATCAGTTGGATATAACACCCAGGCTTTGTCACGTCCCGTGCCCTCCTTAATCCCTATCATCCAGTTACACTACCCCCTCCCCTCCTCCCCTCTAGTAACCCTCAGTTTGTTTCCTAGAGTTAAGAGTCTCTTGTGGTTTGTCTCTTTCTCTGTTTTCATCTTATTTTATTTTTTCCTCCCTTCTCCTTGTAATTTGAATTTTTGATAACTTGGACAAAATGTATGATATATTATTACACTTTAAAATTTTTCATTGAATATGTTCTATCCTGGATTTCCTTGTATTCATACTTTATTATTGTGGACAAATGAATATTTACATAGTGAATGAAATTTCCTAGTTCATTTTTATAGCTACCTATAAATATCTTCACCTAGGTAATAAACATTGGTTATACCCCATAAGTTAGTGGTTCAAAAAACTGAAGTGTTCTCATTGTATGAGCTGCAGAAATGATAAAAGAGTGCCTCACTCTTTTAGGTCACCTGCCTAAGCAGACTGTAATTTTTAAATAAAAATGTATAAATTTCCTTAGAGCTTAGTCATTGCTGGTAAGTTTATTTTGTATTGACGTTCCCGCTGAGATACTGATGTCAATAATGACAGCACTCCTTTTTACTGAGTTTGTCTTCTTTATCAAATTATCAAGTTTTAGAAATGAGTGTGCCACAATGGTAATGAAGGTGTCTTTTGTACAGGAGGCTGATGTTCTCAGGGCACCTTTGGTTGGGTTTGTGCTTTTAGCCAACAGAAACTTCAGTCACCCCAAGTAGTCAGGAAGCCTTTGGGGAGGGAAGAAAAAGGAAGGAAGGAAGAAAGCCAGTTCTGTTGTAGTTGTAGTAAAATTGTTCTAACTCATTCATTCACCCGTATTTGGTCTGCCTGGTCTGAACAGAGCATAGATCCAGCATGGCAGGCCAGGAAAAAGACTTATGATGGAAAGACCATCTTGTGTATGTATTAAACACAAGTTAGAGTTACAGGGTTTTCACCACTACTTCACAATGCAAACCCTATGTTTTACGATGGGCATTACCATTACAGAAATTTTCTTTAAAGAAAAGTGGGACAGGCTCATTCTAGAACCTTCTTTTGTCATTCATGTCAATGCTACAGATAAATTGGGTCCAGTGGTATTGTTGGAGTGGATGTAACTCATACTAAGTCTGAAAGAATGGCATAAAGTGAAAATTGTTGAACGAGTCCTAGGTAGAGAAACTCCTCTGTGAATTTTTGGTTGTTACGAGCTGTTCCAAGTTCATTTTTTTTTTTTTTCTTAATTGAAAGCGACATGGTACTCCCGCCTGTGGAGGATGGGCTGAGCTATGATTTTGCTTCTCATTTGGAGAAGGTGTTTAAACACCAACTGTCGGGTCTTTTCCCCACCTACTGATTCAGCATGTCTTGGCAAGTAGGGGATGAGACTGAGAATTTTCATTTCTAAAAAGTAGTCAGGTGGTGCTGACCGTTGGGGACCTCACTTTGAGAATCACAGATTAGCAAACAGCAGTTTGGGGCCACTCTGAGGCTGGAAGTGTTAAAGAGATTACTGTAGTAGTTTTAGCTTTACTCTCTTTGCGTATTAGGCACTAGAGGGCAGCGTGATCCCAGCACATGGGGACAGACAGCCGATGATGTCATAGCAAATCCAGACCTGTTTCAGCCCAGGCATCTCTGATTTTTATCTGCTTTGTTTATTGACGGTTAAAATAGGAATTTAGTAATTGTTATTATTATTTTTTCACATAGGAATTTATATGTCAGAAAGGTTCTATTGCCAAAAATAAATTTAAAAGTTGTTCTCTCTCCAGTCCCTTCTTTTTGAAGTCCTAGGGCCTGCTAGCTAGACAGGAGGGGTGACGGGTGTGTGTGATTTTATGTCCCATTATTCAGACAGCTATAGTACTGAAAGATAAACTGGCTCCTTAGAGTCCGGTATTTCTGATAGTGTTTGCAATGCACTCAAATTCTATTCATAACAGAAATAGAGTTTTGAGACCAAATAAGTTCAGAAGCATTGGGTTAAATGAAGTTACATGAGTTCCTTTGCTGGAATGTTCCTCAGAGTCTTTATTTGTACATTGGAAATCCTTGAGAGGAGGTTGTAGAATGCAAGTCCACTACAAGTACTTTGGAAAGAATCACCAATCTGGTCCTAATTCTTCAGTTTTCTAGAAGTAGAGACCGGAAGATAACATGGCTGCTGGGTAGTGACAGGGCCTGTCTCCTGAGTGCAGCTCAATGTACATCCCACGGGATACACCTACAGTCCTGCGTGCAATGACAACGCCCATGTGGGTTAAATGTGCTTCCTGTTTGGGGCTACGAGTCTTCCTACTCCACCTGTTGGAATACTCCTCCTCCAGGTGCTTGCAGACTGTGCCCCATACTTTCCAACAGATGGGGCTTCAAGGTCCCTTCCTAGACAGAGTCCTTCTCAGGACACCCTGTCCAAAAATTTTTTTTCTCCTGTCTGTAATGCTTTGTCACCACTTGCTATATATTAATGTGCTTAATGGTTTTTGTCCATTTCTGCCTTTTAAAATAGAAGAGCCAGAATCATCTTGGTGTCTACTATATTCACATTTAGTAGGTGCTCAATTAACATTTTTTGGATAAATTATCTACTGTTGGCAAAGTATATAACCTGAGATTGATTATTTTATCAGTCAGGGTTTTCCAGAGAAGTAGAATTAGTAGGAGTTATATATGTTATGGGTTAAAATGGCAAAAGCTAGTGTGTTTTATGAAATGGTTCTAACAGGACCCAGATAACCTAAGTGCTATATGAATTTACAGACAAATTTCCACTTGCATTTCTGGGCTTAAAAGTACAATATCTGACGCTACCTAGTAATTGTTTAAATTTAATGGTATTTTATTTGTATACATCCTGGTATGTTACAGAATATTCTTACAGGCTTCAGGAAGTTTGGATTTAAATGTTATTAAGGTGATAGGTATTTACATTTATCCAAAGGGCTCTGTGAGAAGGGATTCTACCCTGAGTTTTACTGCAGTTAAGGTAACTGCCTTGGAAAATACTATCCACTTCTTTATTTTCCATCTTCTGAATCTCACAGGAGTGCTTTTCATGAGCAGACCCAAAACCATACAGGGAATCAAAGTCAGCAGATGTCCCAGGCAGGAGGGAGGAAGCCCTGGAAGGTGGCGGTGGTCCGTGGGGATGACATCGAGTTACCAACAGCCAGAGAAGCACAGATATTGGTGAGGTTAACTAACAAGATAAAATCTACCCTCTGAGGGGACCTCCCCTGCTCAGCCTCCCAGAGCTTATCTTCTCTCCTTGAATCCCAAGATCCCTCCTGTTTCACAGACCATTGAGGTAAGCGAGCAGGGAGTGGGGGTGCATGCGTGCATGAATGCCTGCAGTATTAGATATAAAAGAAACCTGAAAAGAGATGTGACGTGTTAAAGGACTCGTATGTTAGGTACCTGGCTTCTGGTATACTTAGCCTGAGCAGTGCTGTCTACAGTGAGAGGTACAAGCTTCCACAAGGGCGTTCACACTTACTTGCCAGTAACAATCCACGAGTCTTCTGGTAATTTCACTTTGAAGGAAGGTTAGAAATAATGCTCACCATGGAAGAAGATGTTCTCTGGTAAAGAGTGAATAGCGTTGAGTGGAATCTTGGCTTTGGGAGGGATGACCTTCCAGGTGACGTCATGTAATCTACCACCCACTCTAACCCTTCATAAGGGGGGCCCACATGAAGGTTGATTTATTTGAAGATCTATTAGATTGATTGTCCTCTTCTTTGAGGTAAAGTAAATACTGATCCAGTTTCTATTAATAAAGCTCTTACTTAAGCAGAGTAGGAGGCAATAAAATTCAGAAACTGAACGACATCAGAATGACAACAATGAAAAATATTTGCCAGAGGTTAAATTGAGATAACTGCTTTCCATTTACTTCTACTTCACAGAAAGTAGGGATTTTCTCTCCCATATGGAATCCTTTTGGGGTTTTCTAGGTCTTTCTTGTGTAATCAATGAAATGATTATCTGTGGAGCCATGGACGAGCCTTACTGAGAGTCACCTGTTCTCTGTGCTCCTAGAAGCCCACGCTCTTCTTTAATTCATTATGTTTCTGTCTAGCCTGACTGGGTGGTTTGCCCAACTCCGTAATTGAATGTGGAGCTGAACTTCTGGTCTTTTCTTCTCCATGACTTTCAGGGACCTACAGCTATTTCTACTATCCTGGAGATGTTGAAATTCCTCTGCCCTCTGAATTTTGGTTTGAGGAAACCAGAGATCAACATAATAGAAGACTGACTTGATGGGGACAGGGGAAAACTTCAGCCTTTGTGGAGAGAAGAGGAGAAGAATAGGCAAAATTCCAAGACTGAGCAAGAATATAGAAATGGAGGAGGTGATAATGAGAGAGAAGGGGATGGAAGTTATTTCCTGCAGCTAAGGAGAGCGATAATTCTGCTAGTATTTTCCAGGATCTTGAGTTCAAATATCACCTCCATCGTTTTCTAGCTGTGATTTCGGGTGTTCACATGTGGTAGTTGATACTGTCCTTGACCCTCCAGGCTGTCTCCAGACAATGTTCATTTCTTCAGAACTCACTTAACTTGACCACTTCATCGTGGTCTACTTGCCGATATTCACTGACTTCCCCATCTCTCTTCCTCCGTCTTCCAAATCCTTGGCATCAATTCTTCAACCCAAGTCCTGCTATTATTTTACAGTTCTTCAATATCCACCTGAAATGCATCTCATCTTCCCAGTTCCTCAGTCTTCTCATCTGCAGGGACTCCTTTTTTCCATGCTGTCTCCGTTCCCCATTCTCATGGCCACACCCTATTCTCCTAATAAGGAACCTCGTCAACTAGCTCTATCTACAATTACCTCTTCTTGCTTAAGTCATCAGCTACCTTGGTCATACCATTCCTTAGCTCCATTGAGATGTCTCTGTTTTGCTTCCAATATCTCAGCCTTCTCTTTTCCTTCTTTCCCTTGTAATTTCTACAATAATCATACCAATGCCCTAAATTCCATTGCCTGTCCATGTTTTGATCACATCTGTGTGGAAAAAAAACCTCATCTTCAGGTTTTTTCAGGGTACATTTCTTAGTTGGTGATTTTACTTTCCTGATCTTGTCTTTTAGACTCAAAACTAAGTTCTCCATTAGGGCTTTCCCCATGTTCCATGGAGATACTAGAGTGCCCTTCCAAGAGAGGGTACTGGAATCTCCTGCATGCAATTTTCAACAGCAACTCAGAGATTCTCTAGATTTTGATGCACCCCTAATCTGAAGACCACTCTGATACCTCCACCCAGACTGCTTTCCCAAAAAGGGACCACCTGAGTGTTGGGTCTGCATGCTGCCTGGATTAGTGATGTACAAGGGGGGCGTGGCAGGGTTACATGGCTCAAAAGACATATGCACACAAGTATCTGAAATTCTTCAGCCCACAAAGACTCTCATCCCCTCCATACCCCCTGGAAGCCCCTGAGAGGTCAAATACAGCAAGTCTTCCTCTGATACCACTTTAGTTTGAATAACCACCTGTAAATAACACTTCTAGGGACCTACTTCAACCTGGCTGTGCCTGTCTGTCCACATTTCCTGAGATTTCAAGTGCTCAGCCTGTGCTCCAAGTATGCAATTCTCTACCCAAACCAAATTAATTCTTCCTAACCCATATTATCAATAAGCATGTAAAAATAATACCACGGAGGGTTGCCATTGACCCTAATACCTACTTGGGTAGACATTTATACAACATACTTTCTATGCCTTGTTTTTAATCCTCTGAAAATTTTACAAAGTAGATATCACCTCCACTTGACAGTTAAGAAAGCAGCCATTCCAGGAGAGATAATGTGGCTGGCTCAGGGTCATGCAGTTTAGAATCCAGTTCTGTAAGGATGCAAGGCTTGAACTCTTCTTCTTCTACCTGCTGGATGGGGCATACTGGTTTTGTTTCCTTCTTGCATTCCTTTCAAGTTCTTTCATGGTCTCATTTACTTTCTCCTCTGCCCTTGCTGGTTATTGCCTAAATTAGAACTGCATCGTATACAACTTAAGGTTGCCATGTAAAATGATGAACATTGGGGTACATGGATGGTACAGTTGGTTGAGCATCCGACTCTTGATTTTGGCTCAGGTCGTGGTCTCAAGGTCATAAGATTGAGAGCCCCCCCATGTTCAGTTCCCCACTTGGCGGGGAGTCTGCTTGAGATTCTCTCCTTCTCCCTCTGCCCCTCCCCCTATGTTTGTGAGCACACATTCTCTCTAATAAATAGTTAAATCTTAAAAAAATAAAATGATGAGCATCATTAAATGTCACATATTACCCCAATTGATAATAAACGTAGCATGCATTCTCTTTTTCTTATTGAAGTGTAATTGACATCCAATATCCTGTTAGTTTCATATGTACATCATAATGATTTAATATTTTTAGACATTATAAAATGATCCTCACAATAAGTGTAGTTACTATTTGTCACCATACCAATTTATTATAATAATATTATTATATTCCCTATGCTGTATAATATATTTCCATGGCTTATTTATTTTGAAACTGGAAATTTATATCTCTTCATCTTTTCACCTGTTTTGTCCAACTCCAGCCCCTCCTCCTCTATTTTATGTATCTGTGAGTCTGTTTCTGTTTTGTTTTATTTATTTATTTTTTAATTTAGATTCCACATATAAGTGAAATCACACAGTATTTGTTTTCCTGTGTTTGACTTATTTCCCTCAGCATAGTATCTCCCCGCCCCCAGGTGCATCTATGTTGTTAGAAAAGGCAAGATTTCATTCTTTTTATGGCTGAGGAAGGTAGCAGGCATCCTTGAAATCAGTTCAATGGACATTTACAAAAGTTGTTTCGAGGATGCTTTGCCTTTATTGTTATACCTAATAGTGTATAATTTTGAGTAAATGTTGCAGCCCTGTCCAACCCTGGACAAATTCTAAAAAGCAATGACATTTAAACTATTATTTGACTCATGTGCCTTCTCCATGACAAGGAGTAGAATAAGAATTCTATACAAATCATTATTTTGCTATTGCCCTCTCTGTTCTGATACACCCCCCACCCCGCCCCGGAATGAATACTTTACCATACTTTCTTTTATCATATGAAGATGAAGCAAAAGTGGTCCCGTATTTGGTGGAACCAGTATCTATAGCAAAAACTAGAAAGGTGTCTTTCATCAGCTGCTTCCTCCAGCAGATAAGTTAAAACTTGTGTGGGCTTACCTTTGTGGTCTTAAAAGCGAGAGGAGAGGAGGCTTTATACAAAAGGAAATCATTAGTCAGCAAAAACTAAAATTCACAAGATGAGCATGGTGGTCTGTCCTCTGCTCCACTGGGACACAAAGCCAGCTGCCATCAGCCACGATCTCAAAGTTCCGGTCTGTAGGGCAGACCCGTAACACCTGCAGAACACCTTGATTGAACAATGAAGCACGCCGTGGCACGCCATGGCATGCTATCCTCGGCAGACAGGAAGGAAGGACCAGTGTTCCTTATCCCAGAGTAAGGAGACCTCCACTTCTGCATCAGCAGGGAATTGATCTCTCCTGGTATTAAACACAAATCCCTGCTATCCTATCAACAACCGCTTAGAGACACTACGTTTTCAGATTTTTTCAGCACCAAATTTTGTGAGTGGCCAGAAGACCAGTCAGACACATTCCTGCTATTACTTCACTAGCTTCCTATGATAATCTCAATTCCCCCACCCCCCAGCCTCATCCAAAGTCCTATTTGCTTCCTGGAACCTCTCATCCGGTTGAATTTTTGAGTGCGCACACTTGCCTTTCTCTTCCATGACATTTGACTTTAATTCCTATTTCCAAAGCTAGATGCAATTTGCCCCCTTCCACTTCCTTCAAGAAAGACTCCCTTTCTAGGATCTCCAAAGCAATTTGGTCTCTCAGTGGGGAGATTCAGGTATCCGCCTCCCTCTCTGGCTGCTGCTAACGTCCTGTCCCATTTCTCCTGCCCTATCGCTTACGACCTGTTTTTGAGCCACTTCCAGACATTGGCAGCTGGTTCCTGGCCAGCATGTTTCTCCCTCTATGTGGGTGTAGCTCACAGGGCTGGCATTCATCCACCAGTCAGCACTGTGGATTTTATATAATAACCTCAAAGCTCACATGCATTCTTAGGTCAGTTGTCCTTATAATCATTTCAAAAGACAGAAAAGGAAACAAACAAACAAAAAAAGGACAAGGTTCTTATTTTGTGTTTAGTGGAAGGGAACAGAGTGTGGGATGTGCCTCCTCCCCAAATACTCTGTGAATTTGCTGTGGGTACTGCGGCCTCCCCCTACCCCCAAGATTTATCTCTTAGCTTTCTTTTTTTCAAATTTAAATTCAATTTAGCCAGCATCTAGTACATCATTAGGTTCAGATATCATGTTCAATAATTCATCAGTTGCATAAAGCACCCACTGTTCATCACATCATGTGCCCTCCTTAAAGCCCGTTGCCCAATTACCCCATGCCCCCACCCACCTCTGTTCCAGCAGCCCTCAGTTTGTTTCCTATAGGGGTGCCCGTGGATCAGTTGGTTAAGCATCTGCCTTTGGCTCAGGTCATGATCCCGGGGTCCTAGGGTCAAGTCCCGCATCAGGCTCGATGCTCAGTAGGGAGCGTGGCTTCTCCCTCTGCTCCTCTCCCAACTCACGCTCTCTCTCTCTCTCAGATGAATGAATAAAATCTTTAAAAAAAAAAATCCGCGAAAATGAAATTTTGGGAATTAATCAAGATCAAAAGCTTCTGCACAGCAAAGGAAATAGTCAACAAAACAAAGAGGCAACCCACGGAATGGGAGAAGATATTTGCAAATGACAGTACAGACAAAAGGTTGATATCCAGGATCTATGAAGAACTCCTCAAACTCAACACACACAAAATAGACAATCATATAAAAAAAAGGGGAGAAGATATGAATAGACACTTCTCCAATGAAGACATACAAATGGCTATCAGACACATGAAAAAATGTTCATCATCACCAGCCATCAGGGAGATTCAAATTAAAACCACATTGAGATACCACCTTACACCATTTAGAATGGCCAAAATTAGCAAGACAGGAAACAACATGTGTTGGAGAGGATGTGGAGAAAGGGGAACCCTCTTCCACTGTTGGTGGGAATGCAAGTTGGTGCAGCCACTTTGGAGAACAGTGTGCAGATTCCTCAAGAAATTAAAAATAGAGCTTCCCTATGACCCTGCCATTGCACTACTGGGTATTTACCCCAAAGATACAGAGTAGTGAAAAGAAGGGCCATCTGTACCCCAATGTTTATAGCAGCAATGGCCACGGTCGCCAAACTGTGGAAAGAACCAAGATGCCCTTCAATGGACGAATGGATAAGGAAGATGTGGTCCATATACACTATGGAGTATTATGCCTGTATCAGAAAGGATGAATACCCAACTTTTGTGGCAACACGGACAGGACTGGAAGAGATTATGCTGAGTGAAATAAGTCAAGCAGAGAGAGTCAATTATCATATGGTTTCACTTATTTGTGGAGCATAACAAATAGCATGGAGGACAAAGGGAGATGGAGAGGAGAAAGGAGTTGAGAGAAATTGGAAGGGGAGGTGGACTATGAGAGGTTATGGACCTGAAAAACAATCTGAGGGTTTTGAAGGGGCGGGGGGTGGGAGGTTGGGGGAACCAGGTGGTGGGTATTAGAGAGGGCACGGATTACATGGAGCACTGGGTGTGGTGCAAAAACAATGAATACTGTTACGCTGAAAAGAAATAAAAAATTTAAAAAAAAATCTGCTAGTTTCCTGAGTCACCTTGCCTGCCGAAGAGAAACTCCAGTGTGATACCTCTAGTAACATGGTCTGTGGAGTGGACACAGCTAAATTCTCTAATACTGTTTTGCGCTGCCCCCATCCCATGCCTTTTTTTTTTTTTTTTTTTTTTTTAATTCCGAAGGTCTGGAAGAGCTAAACTGGTGAAAAAAATTTGTAAAATGACTTGCTTCCCATTGCCCAAAAAGCTGACATTATTTGGCAACTAGGTTTTACACCCTTCCTTATAACCCACCAATTCCTACAGTGTCCCAAGAACAAACTCTAACTAGAAAGTTACGGATGGACGCTGGGGAAACGGTCTACCAAAATTGGATACCTGACAATGGAAATATAAGCATTTAGTTAAATTGCCCACACCTTCACATAAAATAACATTTTAATTTACTCTCTAGTGTTCAAGCAGGAAAACCATGGTAAATTTAGATTAAAGCCAGCATATGTTGTTTTAATCTGGGCCAGGATCTGCTGGAGCAGAAGCTGATGCTAGAGGAAGTAAGGAGAGTTAATTTCTGTTTCTCTGCTGCAGATAGAAAATGAAGCAGCCTTGGTTTTTGAAGCTTTCTGATTAAAAATAAGCTAACTGCAGGAACTAGAACAATGTCTGGTTCAGACCAAGCACTGAATTAATAATTAATAAAAATGTTCCACTACTTAGAATCTCTACTAGGGCAGTTCAAGATTTTCAGCCTCACACAGACAAGTTTAGCCTCCTTTTGCCATTAGAGCAATGCAAAGTTTGAGTTTCCAAAACTCAAAACGTATGCTCTGCACTATGATTAGGCAGTACCATGAGATATCTGAATTGCAACTGTCCTAGGAAAATGCCACTCATGTGGTCTCTCAATCAAAACTCAGGCAGCTCAAGAAAATTTGTATGCCTGGACAGCTCACATTTAGAAAGGTAATTATTGCTAGTAATATCAGCCAAGACTTACCAAGCCTTTACTGTGTGCTGGGTGCTCTTGGGTACTTGATATACACGTCTCTGCTCATTCAATCCTCACAAAAATCCCATGAAGTAAGACTGCTCTTGTCCCCATTTTATAGATGAGAACACTGGGGTGCAAAAACCATGAAGTAAACTCCCCCCAAGTCATGCAGCTCGCAGGAATATTTTCAGTGGTGCAGGTTGATGGCATGGACTAAAATCCCCCGGAAGTTCCATCAAATACCACATCAGACCTTCCCATTCCTTCTTTCATTGTCAGGGAGACAGGAGGTTGGCAAATTGAACAAGCTATCTTTTCTCAGTTCTGCTTGTTTTTATTCCTTTCCGGACGAGTTCTGCTCTCTGCCTCTCGCACTGCCAGTGCTGGAGATTGCCCGGCTCCCAGTCCTCTGAGCCACTTCCCTCCCTGCCAAACTGTCAGGGCATAGTCCAGACATCTAGTGATACACCCCCTGAAGCCAACGTCCCTTGTAAAGTCCAACAGAGACTTAATGTTTGGATCCAGATCTTTTTGAGAATATGGGTGGCTGGGGGAAAAATGCAAGCCAACATCTTCCCAGGCTGCCAAGATCGAAGGAACTTAATTCAGAATTTCTTTAGAATTTTGTGCTCAGTGGCTCAAAGTCCTAGAACCACAGACTCAGATAAGACCCCCAGGGCAGCCTCCCTGTGTAGACACTCAGTGTAGACACAACCAGAACCCTTCCACCGCCACCACCGCCCCCCCCCCCAGCCCCCTGGCCTCCCACAGGTGATGTTTTTCTGCCTCTGCAAGTGTAAAGGAACATCCAGTAAATGATCAGGTCAGAATATTGTGCTTTCGTCTTGCTTTTTTACTTTTCAACTGAATTTGAGGTGTTTTGACACATAGGAGAGTATCTATGCATCAGGAAAGAATGAGACAGACGCTGTCTAGACTCTAAAGCACATTTTGCCAGTTACCTGATTCTAGCTTTTCGTTACCAGGGAGCTATTTTCCAGCTCTGGACATTGCAGATATCTAAAAGCAACATGACATAATTCTTAGGGACAGGCATGCAAGTGAATTCTGTCCAGTAGAGGGACCATCCTCTTTCCACGAGGCAAAAACTCTCAATATTTCCAGTAAGCATTGGGGGAGAAACAGGTGAAGAAACAGGATGGTGGGGGGAGAAACAGGTGAAGGAGGTAAAAAAATTAGAAGAAATTAAATAAGTAAAAAATGCAGAAAAATTCGGAAAACAACCCGAAGCGATCCTGCCTGTGTTCTGCTATGGCAAGTGGGTGCACCTGTCCCCTTGGCCAAGGGAAATGGTACGCGTGCGCTGCAGCCACGCAAACTCAGAGCTGCTGGGAGGCCCAGGCAGGCCGCCGGCCACCGCTCCCAGACACCTGTCATTTTTCCATGACGTTGGTAGGCACTTCCCTCGGACCTTTCAACACCTGCTACCGTGCGTGCCCCTTCCTGAAAGACCCGGTGACCCTGCTTATTTGTCAAATGCGCCCCACGTGCCCCTTCACGTGACACCTTCCTTAAACTGGATCTAAATATTTCACCGAAATCAAGGGCCTAGTATAGACAAAGGGCAAGTGTAGACAAGCTAGAACCATAACCTTTTTCTTCTCAGAAATGTTTACTCTCTTGTCATTTTGAGCCCCTTACTTCTGTTATTTGTTTATGAAGTCTGTTTGTCATTTCCACGAGTCCTTCTACGTACAAAACAAAGCATTTAACGTATTTCTCCATAAGGTGTTAAAACCAGTCAAGACACCCCACACCTTACAAAGCAAATCTATGTTTTAATATTAAAAAAACCTTTCTCTTTAATGGGATACCAAATGAAAAAAACCTCTTTTCAAAATACTCTTTTGTCTTCTGCGTTTGTTCCTTTCGATTATACATGTACATTTAGGTTACTCACGCATGTTCCAAAAAAAATGAAAAAAAATCAGAATGGTTACATGTAAAAAATAAAAATCTCCAGCTCCTTATTCTTCGATGCTAATTTATATTCCAAGAGGCTTTTTAAGAGTTAGCATTTCAATTTTAGTTATGGGTAATTTACGTGGTACAAGCATCAAAAGCCATGGGAAGATGCCTTTTTCTCCCCTCCCCCCTTCCTCATTACTCTATACCAGGTAACTGTTAGCAGTTTTATTTGTCCTTCCAGAAAAGTTGTATGTGTCTATATAAGCTGATACAGGTATTTTTCACCTTACTTTTGCACAAATAGTGAACTACCATACTCATTATTTTGGCACTTGACTTTTCCCACTTAATAATTTATTATAGATACTTTTATCACTATGTAAGTCTCTTCCTCAATTTTTTATCCAGTTAATATTATTACAAGTGAATATATTGATGCACCATAATACATTTTCCCTGTCTCAATATAATGACATTTAAATAGCTTCTAATCCTTTGTTCTCGGAAACACTACTGTAATGAAAAACACCTTTGCGAGTCATTTCCCAGGCAGGCAGTGTTCATTAGTAGTGTTTATTTCTACCAGAGAAATCTATAGGTGGAATTCGTAATTGGGAGAGTGCAGAGTTTTTCTTCACAGCAATGAAGCAAATTTATACCCCCACCACCCATCTTTGAGACTGCCTGTTGACTCATCCCCAGAGAACCAAGTGTATTGTTACACTTTTGGATTATTTTCTAGTCTGCCAGGTGAAAAATGGTATCTCATTAATAAATGTTTCCTTCATGAGTTACTTTAAATATCATCTACATGTCCGGGCCATTTGTATTTTGCCTTCTCTGAATTCCCTCTTCACATGCTTTGCCCATTTTTCTATCAGGTAACTGATCTTTTTCTTATCGGTTGGTATTCATTCTTTCTAAATTAAGGAAAGCAGCTTTGAAGCGTTGTAATATATACTCCAGATTATCGTCTGTCCTTTGGGTTTGTTTGCAGTGACTTTTCTTCCATACGTTAAGTTTGGTTTTATGCTGTCAATTCACTTTATTACATGACTTCAAGGTTTTATACTACTTTAGAAAGATTTGAGGTTATAAAATAATGTTTATACTTTTTCCCTAGTATTTTTGTGGTTTGTTTTTTATTTTTAAGTTTCATTCTTTTCTTTCTTTCTTAAAAAAAAGATTTTTTAAATTTATTTGACAGAGAGAGACAGCGAGAGAGGGAATATAAGGAGGGGAAGTGGGAGAGGGAGAAGCAGGCTTCCCACTGAGTAGAAAGCCCCATGTGGAACTCGATCCCAGGACTCTGGAGTCATGACTGGAGCTGAAGGCAGATGCTTAATGACTGAGCCACCCAGGTGCCCTTCTTTTTTTTAAAATCTGTGCTTTAACACATATATATTACATATGGACGGAGTTATTCTTTCATTCTTGGGTGCAACTTTGTTTTCCTTGAAGAAAATTGTTCCAATTTATTAAATATTCATCTTTTTCTTCCTTTTGTATGAGAGGCTGTCTTAATCATAGTCTAACCCATTAGGAACTAAGAATTGATTCAAAACTTTTTACTCTTTTCCAGTGGACTGTCTCTTCATGTTGCTATGTTACTGCAGATGAGAGTTTAAGTAGAATTTTATTCTCTGCAAACAATTTTAATTTCATTTTCCCACCTGACAAAGTATCTTTTTTGTTAATGTTCCAAATACAATTTAGAATCACTAGTTCTGGAAAAAAAAATGTTGTATTTTTTTTTACCTCCGGGATAGGATTTAACTTATAAATTCATTTAGAAAGCATGATCATAGGGGAAGAGAGGGAAAAGTAAAACGACAAAACCAGAGAAAGACACAAGCCATAACAGACTCTTAATTATTGGAAACAAACTGAGGGTTGCTGGAGGGGAGGGGGGTGAGGGAATGCGACAACTGGGTGATGGGCAAGTAATGAGCTCTGGATATTATATAAAACTGATGAATCACAGACCTGAACCTCTAAAACAAATAACACATTATATATTAACAAGAAAAAAAAAAAGGAAAGCATGATATCTTTATATATTTTTTCTTCCTAACCAAGAACAAGATACGCTTTTCCATGTGTTTAGGTGTTACCTTGTAATCTACAGAAGTGTTTGTAGGCATATTCATATATGCTTCACACATTTATTAAATAGATTGCATGTAGTTATTTTGTATTATTTTTGTCCTACCATAAATTGGGTCTTTTACTCCCATGAATCTTCTAAATGGTCCTTGTATCATGAAGGCAGTTAGCTTCATATACTTTCTATATGCTGCGATCTCAGCTTTTAGCTGAGTTTCCTGGGTATATACTTGCTTTCAGAATAGTGAGAGTTCTACTTTCTCTTTTACAGTTCTTCTCTCTCTCTCTCTCTCTCTTTTTTTTGCTTGTGTAATTTTTTTGGCTTATACTTCTAGTACAATAAATTAAATGAGAATAATAGTGATCATCCTTTCCTTGGTTTTGATAGAAGTAGGAATGTCATTAGTTTTCTCTACTAACTAAGTGTTGGCTTTGGGGCTGAATTTTATTTTCAGTCCGTAATCAAATGTTAGAATTTGGAGAAAAGTGTATTTGAAACATAAATCTTGAATCAGCATTCTTTATTTCCATGGCAGACTGTTCCATGTGTCCTCTTTTGAAGTTTCAAAGGACACAAGCACAGGCGATTCTCAGCACAATTCATCAATAATTTAGAAAGGCTCTTTAATATTTTTGCACACCTTATTTTATGTAGCACAATCTCTGCCATTTAAAAAGTAGGTGTTCCCCCTCATCAGTGTTTTCTTACTTACAAATACTTTTAGAAACTCTGGAAATTTCTACTTAAGTTTTTCTATTTTAGAGATCACACTGACATGGCATTGAAACACCCATCTAGGGTCATAGTAGGGAGAAAACTCACTGCGACCCCTAGGGCCCCCAGCAATTGACTTGAATGTCATTCTCTGGGCACAGAGGAATGTCTGGGGCTATTCCTGAGGTCAAGTTTCAACAACAAAGCTCAGCAGAACACGAAGTAAAAAGTAATCATGACGGAATTAAGTAGGTGATATAATCAAATAATAGCTTGTGAATAATACCATGCTGTCAGGATTGAAGAAAGGTCCTTAGAAATGGGACCAGACCTTGAAATTCTCACAGAGAACTGCAAGTAATATAGAAATACAGTTAATGAAAGAAGGAGGCAAATGGTTATGTGATTTAAAAAAAAAAATGTCCATCTCTTGCCTGTTTTGGTAAGATAAAATATCTAAAACAAGCAAAGGGGTCAGTTCAGTTAGTATTTCTGCTTACGAATGGGGAACATCAACTGCAGGTTGAGTGAAGTTTTCTCGTGGTTTGTTTCCATGCCATTGATATGTTCTAGGGAGTAACCAAAACCAGAACTTCCCAATCCTTGCTACTCGTTGGAGTACCCAACGTCGGCTATTTGACTGAGGTGACGGGTCTTGTCAACTGCATCCAGCTGGGCATGTAGTATCTGGTCTAAAACT